TTCATATTATAGGCACCTGGGCCCTGGGCCCCGATCCACAAAGCTATTGTAGCACTACGACAGTCGTAAGTATGGGAGCTACGATCATCTTAGCGCTACGACCGTTTCGTGGAACGGAAGCCTGTTCATTGGCAATCTCCCCAGAGCAGGGAGTGCATTGATCCTGAGATACCACCAACTGATGCCACCATTTATGCAAACAGTGCGAAAATTTAATGGTGATTAACTATTTGTCATAACCATGTGTACTTCTACATTGTTACATAGTTGTGTTATAGAACTTTAACATGTGTATCGATTTGTGAACACCTGGTGTCATCGTGGTAGAGTCAGAACAGTCGTCTGAACACTTAGAGATAACTTCTGTATGTGGAAATGGTTTTGTCCTCACTTTATGTACATTATTTATTATAATGTTACACGTTGACATGATTCATATTTATAGTTTCAGCATGAGTTCGTTTCCACAATGAATCGCTAAAGCTGCCGATTTAATTCATCGTTTTTCAGCGGTTGGATTTCATTGTTTACTTTGTTTGTAGGTTAAAACCGCACTCAGCAAATATCCAACGTCGTAAATAATCGTGTAAATTCGTGTCCGGGCTATCAATCCAGTGACTGAGAGCATGAATATCGATCTGCGAAACTGGGATACCGTGACCTGCATCAACATCCCAAAATCCTATCTACCACATCGATCTGCGATTGTAGATCATTGTCCACTCAGACATTTACTGGTTTCATAAAGATTACAAAGAACGAAGAACCGGTGTTTCTTAGTTTGATAAAGTAGAGTAAAAGAGGATCAAATATAGCTGTTAGTTTTAAGGTGGACGCTGTACGGAAACTGTAGCTACTTTGTTATTTGGTTAAATACAATAGGTCACTTATGGTCTTATAATGGGAAAGCAAAGAAAGAGATGAAAATAGAAATGAAAGTATTCAAAAGTGTCAACAAGAAGAAGGTCTGAGTGAGTGAATTTAGTTTTACGCCACACTCAGCAATATTCACGTCATATGGCGGCGGTCTGTAAATAATCGAGTGATAAACTGCATGAACATCGATCTACGCAATTGGGATACGATGACATGTGTAAACCAAGTCAGCAAGCCTGACTACCCAATCATGTTAGTCGCCTCTTACGACAAGCATTGGGTTACTGAAGATCAATTCTAACCCAGATCTTCACGGGTACAAGAAAAAGGATAATAGCACGACCGAATCTACATAGATGTTTCTATCATGTTCTGTTAATGTGCCGAAAGCAAGAGATGTACATGCATATACCAGTATTTTTTCGCATTGAATTGTGGCTGAGATTATTTGTTTTTATCTGTTTGGCATTATCTTTTGCATTATTGCCATTAATACACGAATGTACATTTATTCTACGATTTGCTAGAAACCTTATTACACGGAATACACAACCTTTGCAAACTGGCAAACATTAAATTTATGTTATTGACAAAAAAGAATGGCGTTCTAATTATTAGAATATCGGAAAATGGGAATTGGCGTAAATATCAAAATTTCATAAAAGGTATTCATTTTACTAACACATATGTGCTACAATAACTTCAAGTGTATATCAAATATTTTTAAGGAGTGTTTTGTAATGCACAAATATCATTTGTCGTTAGGAAAATAGCACAAATTTCGTATGTCTTTAGAGGCATATCGCTCAGCCAGTTTGATTTGGTTCTGTGCTGTAATACTTCACTCTTGCTTGACAAGAATAAGAATCTATACCGAAACGTCGCGTCATAATATAATAAAGAACACTATCCATAAAGTATCCTTCCTTCCTTATCATTCACCAGCGCGTCTAAACTGCCAATCAAATTGACCAGTTTGATTCGCTTTAATACCTAGACGTATTTTGATTGGTCAGTCAACACAATCAAGTACAATGAGTGATCAAGAGTTTCAACTTGGGATATCTACATGATGGTCAGCTGTAGGATATGTCAACTACTCCAACAAAACCCTTTTAGCCATTATTAGCACTCTGGCGAGTAGGATCCATTGGATGAGGTGTGCGATCCATTGGATGAGGTGTGCGATCCATTGGATGAGGTGTGCGATCCATTGGGTGAGGTGTGCGATCCATTGGATGAGGTGTGCGATCCATTGGATGAGGTGTGCGATCCATTGGATGAGGTGTGCGATCCATTGGATGAGGTGTGCGATCCATTGGATGAGGAAGTGTACGATCCATTGGATGAAGTACCATCCACGGGTGCGATCCATTGGATGAGGTGTACGATCCACTGGATGAGGTGTACAAGTGATCGGCTGAAACGTAGGTCATTGTCTGATGAGGTGTGCGATCCATTGGATGAGGTGTGCGATCCATTGGATGAGGTGTGCGATCCATTGGATGAGGTGTGCGATCCATTGGATGAGGTGTGCGATCCATTGGATGAGGTGTACGATCCATTGGATGAGGTGTACGATCCATTGGATGAGGTGTAAGATCCATTGGATGAGGTTTAAGATCCATTGTTCAGTGTTGGCCATTCCTCAAAGTTCTAGCCTGACAGTAATTTCATCTTCGTGGGTAAGTCAACTTAAAAAATAATGCCGTTGTCGATTTGACTGAAGGGTTTCTTATTTCGGAGTTATGAGACAGGCGTTCTACTTTACTCAAATGTGGATCTAAGTCGACAGCAATGTTCAGTTTTACGTCACTTTAGAAAGGGCATATGAGGATAGGGAATCGAACCCACCTGAGGAATCGATACACCGATCACTTGGCATTCCCAGTGACATATTCAATAATAACAACCTAGTTAAAGTGTGGCATCAGCAACACCCAGTACTGTGCAACATTCAAACCACTCACGTTGAAACATGTTTTCAGTAACACAGACTGTAGACTTTAGATACAGTTGGATTTATCATTACTATTATTACTATTATTATTGAGCTTATTACATATCAGATAGAACCGGCTCATTGTTGTTTATAGAAACAACAATAGTTCTTAGGTTTTTCTTTAAAGGAAACACGAAATTTAGGCAATTGACACCCCCACGCGTAGATTCATGTCAGAACCTCCGCTCTTCCATTAATCGTTAATTAATGGCTATCAATCATCATGGGAGGGCATCGTTTGACTAACGGGGAGACTTTTGCACACATTAATTGTCTGATGATCGTCATCATGAAGTATGTCAAGGTTCTGGATGAAAACAAGGTATTTCACAGAGGCAAGAATGGCAGAAAACACCATTGTGAAATATAACAAGCAAAAACGTCTTAACACAGAAACAAAGGGTCTGTTTTAAATTGTCCACATATCATTTGTTTGAAATGGAGTGTTGCACAGGACACATTCCACGTGCAGTGCCAATGTCAGTTTATTTTCGTTTTGAAATGGACGGACCCCAGCTTTCACGTGGCTGCCATGGTGATCCACTTGTCCACTTGGGTCCACATCAAGGTTTATCATTAGGTCTCGGAACTGAATTTTGAAGTCGGGACCAGGCAAGCCTGTGACTGACAGCATGAGTATCAAGGACAAGCCGACAGGGGATAAGCTGTCGCAGAGATCATTAGGGACCATTCATAATGTATGACTTGGAGGGGTAATGATGACTTTACGGGGGGCTCACCAATTTTGTTCTGGGAGATGGGTGAGTGGGTAGGGGCTGTCATCAGGTTTTGTACATGGTATACAAGGGGACTCACTTACTTTGTACGTAAATTTTAGGGGGTGGGGTGGGGAGTGGCATTCACATTGTGCATGCTACTGCATAAAAATCATCACCACACACACACACACACACACACTGCCATAAATTATGAACGGTCCCTTATATTTTCATACAGGGATATGAATGATATAAAAGAAGTTATACAGTAGCAACATACACTACATATATATCAGCTATTCCTCTTATCATTACCATGAAGGGAAGTTACATAGAATTTACATAGCTGACCCTGGAAATATAAACATCTTTAAACATCAACGTTTTCTACACAACTATATCTCTCACTAAACATAACTGCTTCTGGGGTTTTTTCACGTGGCAAATGATGAAAGGTGTAAATATATCGACATGAATTGAAAGGGAATCTGCACTTTGCTCAATGATGTGGATTCACGTCAACTTCCTCTCATAGCTAAGGTTCATCTCAATTCTGTCTATATGTCGTCTGCACTACGTGTTGGTGTCACCTCTGATTTCTAGTGAATGGTAGTTGAGTTTCAGCTCCGTTTTGCTTGCCTTGTATCAACACAATAGTTCACGCCACGCCACGCCACGCCACGCCACGCCACGCCACGCCACGCGTTATATACTAGCTGTTGTGCATCATGTTATCATCTCACCACGCCGTCATTTACTATGTTATAAATAAGGTCGTGTGCATCATGTTATCATCTCACCACGCCGTCATTTACTATGTTATAAATTAGGTCGTGTGCATCATGTTTCATCAGGTTTTCTCTGACGTTGAGCATATTTGACATATGACGGAAATATAATGTAAAGCGGAGCTACACGCCCACAACGATCTCTGGTGGCATTTACTGAAACGAGTTCTTCCTTGTACGCAATGTCCGAGGTTCATTGTGCGTGTCTGACAAATCATGCATGACGTCTTTACAAATATTGTAAAAGGCCATGGCTATATTCAAGTTCCTCGTTCCTATCTGACATTGCTGAAAACATGAGCAACACATTGGCATTGAATAATAGCCAAGCAGCATTCGTTTGACTTACACAAGCTTACCGTCGCATATAATCCATGTCGGGCCTCGCCTAAATACAGCACACACCTTGTGTTCAAAGGATCTTTGACAGCATATACAGGGTACAAACTAAAGAATTGTGAACCGAATGGGATAAACCACTGAATAGCCCGATACCCTGGCTGTCTTTAGTACGTTGATTCAGTCGAATGGATAGATAGAAGGCTACAAGAACTGCTATGAGTCAATCTCATAATTAATCAGGATTCACTCACTCACACATGACATGACGCAAACTGTTGAACTGCGTTGTGTTTATCTGGTCCAGTAAAAATTCTTTACTTAATAAACTTTCTTACAGATAAACATAATTATCTAAGCATATGTCCACATGCTTTGTGTCATTTGTTTGTTTCTCATAACACTTCAAATATGCAATTGTACATTCATTAGAACGCCCTTTATTCAACACTTAAGGATGTGTACATACACGTACAATACAACATGTAGCAGTTTAGCTGCCATTTCACTGACCTCATTTGCAAACAATGGCACAAGTATAGACATCGATCTTCTCCAACTTTGTATTTCTATAACGAAGGGCACTTAACCTACAAATCAATGGGGGCGGGGGTAGCCTAGTGGTTGAAGCGTTCGCTCGTCACGCCGAAGGCTCGGGTTTTATACTTTTATTTTTAAAAAAGGAGGTTGGTCCCCAATTTTGGTGTCCCCCGCCGTGATATTGCTGGAATATTGCTAAAAGCGGCGTAAATCTAAACTCACTATCTCACTACAAATGAAGGCGACTATCCAGCGGTTGTTCATGTTGGCTTGGTAACACCGTTGATGTCGAAATGTACCTGGATCCCCCAGTGGTCGCTTGGGAACCTGTTACAAGGTAGCCGTTCAGTGCCTGCAAGTTCAAAGTCCACTTGTGTCACCTGTGATGTTGGTTTACTATGCCGTATGTAAAGTCGGTCCAATCTCATGAATAATTTGTATCCAGGAGTAGCACGGTTGTCATTTGTCCTTGTGTCATAGGTGTACCTGGCATCTGGACGCTGGCCAGTTGTTTCCCATAAGTCGTAGATATCTTCTGGCAAGGTGCCAACCTGGAGGACAGAGAACAGATATAACATATTAACTGTCAGTGTACAATGAAATCCGATTTAGAATATCTCTAAATCTCTTTAGAATAGGGCGCTGGGGTAGCTTAATGGTTAAGGCGTTCGCTCGTCACGCCGAAGACCCGGGTTCGATTCCCAACATGGGCACAATGTGTAAAGCCCATTTCTGGTATCCCCGTGATATTGCTGGAATATTGCTAAAAGCGGCGTAGAACTAAACTCACTCATTCACTCTTTACAATATGCTTGTCGTAGGAGACGACGTACTGGATGAAGTTTTCAAAATCGGTGACACAACATCGTTCAATGGATTGTTGCGAACAATGTGTAACAACAATGTTGTTTGTTGAAGGTGTTTTTATCTGGTAACTTTCATGATAAGCTACAATAACTGCAGAAGAGTTTAATGCCTTTACCTCCTCGTCTACCATGTTCGTATCTCCGCCAAATAGTACAGTTCTGTCACCATCAGCCTCTTTCATCGCCTGAAATGCTTTCACCTGCTGCCTCTTTCTCTCGTCACTGTAGTCGGACGAACCTACCGGACTCTCCAGATGCGACGTCATCATCTGGAACTTGATCCCCTTCACACGACACTGCACAAACACAAGACAAAAGCCTGCTGTTACCCGGGACCAAACCATAGTGCATACTGTAAACCAGTTACACAATACATCGAGAACTGAGCTCGCACACTGTATCCAGCAGGAAAAGAGACATACTTCTAAGGTAACCATGTAATACCCAGGAGATGAGGTAAGGAGACATTCAAAACATACCTTTTGGGTTGGGAGTACAGGCAAGTTTATTCAATTTCACACATTTTTGTTTAGAGACATTCATCATGTCCAGTAACCATTATATTTTGGGTTGGCGTTGAGCCTAAACCTGAAGACAAATATTGTCTTCTTTTCTTTATAACTACCCTCCTCAATTACAACATCTAGATCCTTCACGCCTGCTGACAGCTTGGGGTATAGCAATATCTGATTCAGTGTGTTTCTGTAGGTTTGTTTGAAAAGAAATCATTTTTATATATCGCTGAAAATAGACGTATTTTCAGTGGTGCATAAGCATATCTTGCCTTGACTGACAGAAGGTTCCTCAGCATCCTGCTCGTGGGGAATGGTGTAACTGAGCTGTCCTCATACTGTGCATGCCCCTTCCGCAGCATGACAGCAGTGAAGTAGTGGTTGTCTCCCCCTGGAATTACCTGGTACATGTTGCACCCATCCGCCAGGATCGGGAGGGTGAGGCGTATCACTTCCTGGAGGAACACCACGTGGGGCTTCTCCCTGGAGAACATTGTTCAAAAACACTTTACAAATACATACCGAATTTTGAAACGAATTTTGATTTCCTGATATTTCGCTTCAATAATACGCCCATGCTCAATGCCTTTCTTTGATTCAGTATTGATTAATGTTGTAAGAAGTCCTAAAATATTTAAAGGCTCAAACATGAACGTTTCTGGGTTTACTTTGGGGTAAATTACATGAACGTTTCTGGGTTTACTTTAAGGGGGTCACGCCGAAAATTCCCCACAGATAACGACTGGTGTTTCCCGCCAGCTTCAATTTGTCCTGTCAGAATGAGACCTCAAATATGGCGACAGTGTCTACCACACCTTTACCTCCTGAACCAGTGCTCTCAAGCGTGTGATCAGTTGCGTTAATGACTAAACATATTCACACTAATGAATGCCATGCTTGGGAAGGAAACATTGTAGTTTGTTACACAATGCAACTACTCACTTGTTAATGGTGTCACAGACAGCTCGCATCCTGTCCTCGATACAGCGCGGGTCAAGTCCGTCAAGGTTCCAGCACAGAAGACGGATACGATGAGGTTCAGTGTCAGGACCTTCCCTGAAACATTATACACCTGACTGTAACAACACAAAACACCTGACTGTAACTCCACAAAACACCTGTCTGTAACTCCACAAAACACCTGTCTGTAACTCCACAAAACACCTGACTGTAACAACACAAAACACCTGACTGTAACTCCACAAAACACCTGACTGTAACAACACAAAACACCTGTCTGTAACTCCACAAAACACCTGACTGTAACAACACAAAACACCTGACTGTAACAACACAAAACACCTGACACACAAAACACACCTGCCTGTAACTGAAAACACCTGACTGTAACAACACAAAACACCTGTCTGTAACTCCACAAAACACCTGACTGTAACAACACAAAACACCTGACTGTAACAACACAAAACACCTGACTGTAACAACACAAAACACCTGACTGTAACAACACAAAACACCTGACTGTAACAACACAAAACACCTGTCTGTAACTCCACAAAACACCTGACTGTAACTCCACAAAACACCTGTCTGTAACAATTCCACAAAGCCGGTGAATGGCAAACTCCAAGAAACATCCATCGAAACAACTAACAAAAAACTACAACAGCAAACGTATTTATTCGTAGTTTTCGTATTAACGTGTAGTGAGAGTGACCGACTTGGGTTCAACGTCCATTAGAGTCTCAGTTATATCAACCTGTGTCAGTTCATGTTGTTAGATATTCTGGAAGCACACTGCACAAACCTGAATCCAAGCTAAGCTATCGGTTATGGCACGCATTGAATTCGATTTAGCAAACCTAACAGTACTGACAGGTGCGACTGTCAAAGGTGCCTACTGTGTTGAACATTAGTTCCAATCAACTAACAGTCCACAAAGTGTTCAAAGTGGTTCAATGCAACCCTGCTGCACCACAGCTAAGGAGGTATCGTGAAGGTTGATTCAGAAAGATGTCTCCTTCCACACAAAAGATCCGTCATGCATTATAATTAGGGTTCCTTTCCACTTACATCACAGCTGTAGCAGCCATTGTTCCGGTGTTGGCGTTGCCATCAGCTCCTGCTTTCTGCGGTTTGTTGACCTTTCTGTTAGCTCTGCTTTGTTTTGCCCCCATTTATCAACGATGTTTCTACGATGTGAGCATTCAGCTGGACAAGAAACGTATATATAAGCTTCATCATTAGATCATTACTGTTTAAGAGAAGACAGGTGTAAAGGGGGCCTAGATTCGGATAAATAGCCAGTTCGATTCTGTTAGTTCAAACGTGGTATATATTCCAACTAGGGTTTTTGATAAATGATCTTATCAACGGTTACAACTCCCTGGGTTCAAGGCGTCTGAGTCCTGATCAGAAAAGCTCGTGAATTTACGTCGTTTAAATTTATATCTTGACCTTGTTGATTATTCTCAACCATGGATGGGTCTTTCGGTTCCCCGATAACTGCCGCGGACTAAACAACAGTCAAAGCGCAGTTGAGAATCTAATCCTGTGGTGAAAGAGGCAAAGTCTCTTGCATCAGCTGGGATAGTGGTGGCGTCGGTTTTCTGGGATTCCAAAAGAACCCTCCCAATTAATTGGTAAGTTGATGAATTTACGAAGTCTGTTGTTTAAAGGACACGTCTGTTCTAACCATGTCTGTATGACGGATGGAGTTCAGCTCAATTTACCTCCCTTACAATCACTAGGTTTGGCACTCGTCCCCAAAGTGAAGAAAGAACTATCTGACGACCATTATGCAAATGACGATTTACATCATTTTTGCTGTGGGAGACTCTTTCCAAGACCAGGGAGAAGCCTTGCGGGAGATAACGTACGAAGCTATTAAGCAAGAAAATCTACCAATGGAGTCTACCTTAGTTACGTTCAGAAACACACACACACACACACACACACACACACACCCCAAGATTTATGTACAAAGTAAGTGACCCACCCTGCATGTCCTATACGAAATCAGGACCCATCCACACACACACACACACACACACCAAACTCTAAACTGTTACGTACAAAATTAATCATTGAACATGCATCAATTTTAGATGTGGTCTTTATTTTATTGAGGTTTTCGGGCATATCATCAGTTGTAAGTTATATTATATATGTAGCTTGTGGCTATGATTTAAACGGCATCCTGAATAGCGTCTGCCTGATCAGTCGGTAACGTTACAGGTGTCAAATACATTTGGTCCAACGCTGTGAACTTGTAATACCCGTGTTTTCCCAGTCCACGTGCGCTAAACATGTAACGACTGTGTATTAGGAGCCGAAAGGAATAAATCATATCCCCATTTAGATTCGTTCCTGTTGTATTGGACGTGTCATTGCTGTCCTTCAATGATAGGTAGTACAACAACGCAGTTTGTATGCGACCTATCTTCCAACACATTTTGCTATCCCGTTTAACGTCGACACGATATACATTCTATCAGGGAGACTCTATAAGGTTGTAGAGTATCCCTGATTCTATACAGTACAATGTTATACTATTGAAAATATTCAAACTCACCGACAACCCAGATGTTTCCTGCTCCACGCGTATCACATCCGTGGACTGACCTCCCTACTTGCTGCAAGTGTAAAGTATTCTACAGATATCCATGTAACGTGACACCTGATGGGGTTTTATCCAGTTTTCAATTGACACATTTGGAGGACTTCCTTCGTCGCCAAAACGAGGCCCGCAAAAGACATTTTTAGGTATTCATTTCGCAGTAACCATTGGGAAACACGCACAAAGGGATTACCCGTAGCGCTATATAGCGATATTGCTCAACAGCTAGGGCTGCGCCCGGTAAAGTGCACTCAAGCCTATTTGCATACGCCCTCAACCGTATTGATCAAAACGGGTCATAAGCAACAGGATATATATAAATGGAGCCATTACAGACAGGATGATGTCCGAGGCCGAGCTGAAGAGAAAACAGGTGAACCACTACACATTCGCCAATATGGGAGAAAGACAATTGAACGCGCTACACGAATAACATAAAAATATGTTGTTCGTTTTATAAAACAAGATTTCCCTCATTGATCATTGATTTTGTACATGACATGGGGTGTCGGAGTGTTACTTACTTTACACATAAATTTGGAGGAGGAGGGGAGGGGTGTCATTCACATTGTACATGCTACTCCATAAAAATCAACACCACCACCCCCTTGCCATATATTATGTACAGTCCCTAAGGGTCAAACATCGACATAAGGGAAAGGGTAAGCATGGGAGCTTAAATGATATTACCTTTAAGCCAAAGCCAGTTGTAACGGACATTTAAGAAACATTTAAGAATGCTTATGGGCTTTCTCTCTCAAACGCATTCCCTTGAGATCAATGGTGGAACATATGAATATCAGAACCAACAACTTATAAGTTGAAAGGACATGAGCAATTAAAGGGAAAACTGTGTTTTCATTCTGACAATCCTTGACGTTAGATTCTACCAGTAGTTAGCCTGCTTAGCTAGACATTTCTTAAGGATAGTGCATTTTGTGATAAAAGCACCAAATTTGGCTCAGATGACCACTTAGGTGTGGGAAGTAGTTTAAAATAAGCAGAGATGCCAACCCTAATTTAGCCCAATTAGTATTTTGGCCAAAACCGGATTCAAAAATAAGTATTTGTTGGTCAAAATTAGTATGACCTTTTCCAAAGAAATTTCATATTTAATAAAAAAAATAAATTGAAAATTTTATTATAAATTGTAGATTTATATACTTATCCTATCTCACGGTATGCACCTCTTCTCTTCTTCTACGACCATGTGTGCAAACGTGCTGTAGGCTAAATTGAATCAAATCTTGCTGGCCTCTGCCCCGCCCTGACCTCTGCCCTCACTCCGACATCAGCACCTGTCAATCATCTCTGTAAGCGTGGAGCTCGCTCAGATGATCATATGACTACCTGTGCCTGTCATTCTCGTCTTGGAGCTTCTAGTAATCTGTGATGTGGGGCAGGTCGTTTGGGTCCTATCGCGTGAGATAGGATAAGTATATAAATATACAATTTATAATAAAATTTTCAAATTTTTAAACTTATCCTATCTCACGGTATGCACAATCCCACGGTTGGTAGGCAGGTCGCAGATTACCCAGTTACTACCACCAGGAAAAACGCATAACCCAAGGAGGCCAGGAGAAAGCACCAACGATAGCAAACTTTGAGACGCCAGTCCCTGCTCGGTGAAAGAGGGTACCAATCTCCTAGTTTAACGTTCAGTACCAATCTCCCTAACGTACCAAAGGTGAGAAAGGACTCAGGAGCAGAACGCTTCGAAAACCATGTAGGTAATCGGAAATCAACACTTAACTGACGTAATTGCTCAGAGAGTAGAGGTCAGTAAGCGGAGTGTCGATCATCTCTGCATGTAGCACAAGACTGGCCTCACAGTCTATGAAGTCATAACTTATGACAGTGCAGACACGCCCTATTCCCATAGCTGAGAATGATCTAAGCCCAAGATAAAAGTACCAAGACATGGATGACATCAATATCTTATATTAGGTACAAAGCAAACCCGACCAAGGAAGGATTGCTTTATCTGCGAACACAGGCCGATGACAATTGCTGCGCCAGGATCAGGAGGCCGAATTGATGTAGACCTTCCACGTCTGTAACTGAGAGGTCCCTCAGGTAGTGTGAAGCAAACACCTTATCTGATCGCCAAAACAGCCCTCCATGATGGACCGCAGGGAACAATTTCTGTGAAGAGCCATGGTGGAGGCAAGAGCTCGAGTCTCATGAGGCTTCACCGTCGACGGTGGAGGCAGGTCAGCAAAGGCAGAAGCACGCAGGATCGTAGTTCGCATCCAAAACGCCAAGGTAGTACGGGAGACTTCCGAGGTGGAGGCAGTAGACAATGGAATGAACAATCTCTTACGCAATCTGCGGCGATCCTGTGAGGCAGCTAGGTAAATCCTTAATGCACGCACCGGGCATAAGGACAGATCCTCAGTGTCATCTGGGCCGAAGATAGTGGACAACAGCTGAATCGTGAATGTGCGATCCAGCTGTCCTGGTAACTGATTCTTGGCGAGAAAATCCCACCGCAAACCAAGGAAAACTTTCGCATGTCTAGACCTTCAAACCTTACCCGAGAAACATCAAGAGCATGCAACTCAGAAATACGAGCAGCCGTAGCCAAGGCCAATAGAAAGAAGGTCTTAAAGGAGACATGTTAGAAATCTTTCTCCTCCAAAGGTTCATAATCAGCTGACGTGAGATGAGCAAGTACAACGGAAAGATCCCAAGCTGGAGGCTGGAACTTCCGAGATTGGTCAGCCAGTTTGTAAGACCGGAGGAGAGACTGGAGTTCAGGGACAGTGGACACCTTCACACCTGAGGCCGCTGCAATAACTGTGTTAAGAGCCGCCAGATAGGTAGATAGTGTAGAACCTTTGAGTTTTCTGGAGGTTCGGAGATGCTGAAGGTACTCTGCCACCATCTGTGGGGACGCCGTAATGGGGATGAGACGTCCCTCTTCCTGCAATACGCTTTAAAATTCTTCCATTTGTCATTGTAGAGTGACCTCAGTACGAAGTAGTAATGGCAGGAGCCACACGTTTAGAATAGCCCTTAGCCGTTAACGACTGATGTAGATGCGCCAAGTGTGCAGATGGAGCGTCAACGGGGACCAATGTAGCTGGTCGGAGTGCGGATGTACCAGGAGATCGGGTCGAACGGGAAGAGGCACGGGATCTGGTTCGGCTAGGTCTTGAAAGTTTACTGACCAACTTCTGGCCGGCCAATAGGGCACGACCAAAAGCAGAGTCATCCCCTGAGTTGCGCACAGTTTCACTAATATGCGAGGAAGAAGGGCCACTGGTGGAAACGCGTAAGCGTTCAGGTCCTCCCAAGGAATGGCTAGAGCATCGAGGTCCCAAGCCAGAGGGTCCGGAATCAGTGACACAAACCGAGGCAGCTGATGGTTGAATCGGGTGGCGAAGAGATCTACTGTCGGAGTCGTCAACGGAAGGCAAAAGGTCTGGAACACCTGAGGATGCAATTTCCATGCCGCATGAGAGCGACGACTTGGTCGGGACAGAGAATCAGCGATGACATTCTACACCCCTGGAATGTGGGTGGCTCGTACCAAGATGTGGAGAGAGTCCACCAGATCGAAGAACCGTTAGGTCCACTGCAGCAGTTGAGTAGACCCCGTGGACCCCATCCTGTTGATATGCCAAACCACAGCTGCGTTGTCCGACTGGATCATGAGGGAAGTTGCTCTTAGGACATCCTGCCAGTGACTGATTGCAAGCATCACCGCCCTGAACTCCAGAACGTTGATGTGACAGGCGCGATCGATGGGAGACCACCGCCCTGCCACTAATTGATTGAGAAGATGAGCTCCCCACCTGTGTAGAGACGCGTCCACATACAGGTGGTGAGACGGAACAAACGGCCCTAAACAAACTCCATCGCAAACATTCAATGCTTCCATCCACCACAGTAGATGGGTATGGAGCTGCAGAGGTAGAGAGATCAAGGCAACGGGATCTCCCACTCTGATGTAAGGCGCTAGAAAGAACTGCAAGGGACGAAGTTGTAGTTGACCCCTGAGGGTGAACGCCTGAGCCGACGTCAAGAGGCCCAGGAGCTCCTGCCACTGACGAAGTGTCCTGGGTTGCCCCAGTGCCAGAGAAACCAATCGCTGAATCTTGCAGAAACGATCTTTCGGGACAAAGAGTTTGTTGGCCTCTGTGTTGAACACTGCTCCAAAGAATTGAAGACAGCATAGGGGCTAGTTCCAATTTCTGCAGATTGATTAACTAGCCTAATCAGCGAAGAAGCTGTATCGCAAACTGCATGTGACGAAGCAGAAGGGCATGATCGGTCTGCGCCTGAATGCAGTTGTCCATGTAAGCTACGAACACTATCCCCTTGCGGTGAAGGAAACAGGTGATAGGCTTCGATACCCGTGTGAACAGCCACGGGGCCGAAGAAATTCCAAGCGGATAGTGGGTGCCCTCGAAGACAAACCAAAGGAACTTGCGAAGAGCCGGAAAAGTCAGGATGTGAGGGTACCCATCCTGGAGATTGAGACTGACCATGTAGTCTCCCGGCTTGATGATTGTTGAGAAGAGCCACCGACACCATACGAAAGTGAGGCAGGGGGTTGTAGAACCATTTTATGGAAAACCTTCATATTGAAAATTAGTCTCAACTTGTCCGAATCTTTTTTGGCACCAGAAAGATTGGCAAATAGAACCCCGGGTCGGTCGGAGCCAGGCCCAGGGCTCGTTCGCAAGTTTCTGAAGGAGAGTGTCGATTGTGGAGCGTAGAACAGCCGTCTGAGATATGATACGTTCAAGTAGCCAAGCTACCATAAAAGCACTGAAGAAGTGCTGAATGTAGGAGGTTCGTGGCATGGAGATGTCAGGAACGTACACATTGTACACAGAGTGATGAAGGCCATATAAACAGTGATTCATCGCCAAATGAAGTGTTGGTCCACCAGTAGAGTGAGAAAGTTAGTAGATACGATGCATGTGATCGTCAGTCTACCGGAACATTGGTAAAGTTGATGGAATGGCAGAGGTAAAAAAGACCAATGATTCCAGACACGTTCGATAAAGAGGCGGAGGCAGTAACATCGATGCCTACGGACAGTCCGGACATAGCTGCAGTGACTTCTGAACTGAGGCCTTCAGCTAAAAAAATTGAGTAAACCCAGCCAAAGTGAAAGCGCCTCAGCGATTCCGTCTGGCACCGTCGGTAAAATGCATCTCCCGGCTGACTGACAAACTCGACATAATCACTCCTACCGGGAATGGCACCGTTCATCATCACTGGCAATTAAAGGCTGGGATAGGTATCCGCTTCGTGGGACCAAGACAAGTCTGTCAGGTACTTCCTAATCAATGTATCATCAAAAGTCTCCCCCGTTGAAAAGCTGTTTACAACTATACACGACTTCCTGTTATGTGAGCTATGCCCGACTTCAGCGCAGGGCGTTGTCTCTCATGGACCAATCAACTTGCAGCATTTGATTCATCTCAGATTCCCGCGAAGTGACGTCACCGGTGTTGCAGGAAAAGATCCATGCAAAATCTTGTGCAATCATTGATTTCTACATCAGCACCGGCCTTGTCCGTAATCCCCCGGAGTTACACGAGGGAACACGTGTACAGCAGACTGAGTGGAAAACGAACGAAAGATTTCGCCGGGTAATACCGATGTAAGTCTAGTCTCCCTGGCTATTGTGATTGTTTCCTTCTTCACTGAAGATAATGTAATCGTCATCTTAACAGATGATCAGCTGAAGTTCATACTTACTTAACGCTGTTACTTGTAGACTATAGTCATCGGTCTCAATGAAGCTCCGTAAACAACCAATAGTGTTGAATACATAAAGGTTCTTGTAGAGCTACAAGTTCATCTACGACTCCCATTGCAGAACTTATACATCAGCGTGCTTGACTCTTGTGAGGAAGGGGACAGCTTGACAGTTATCACTGGCCTAGCTCAATACTGAAGCCAGTGAACTATGAGGAAGCACCGAACCGGGAACACCATGAGTAAGCGCTGAACCGGGAGCCCCATGAGTAAGCGTTGAACCAGTAATACTGTAGGTAAGCGCTGAACCAGGAAGACTGTGAGTGAGTGCTGAACTAAAAGCACCAAGATAAAGCGCCGATCCAGGAAAACTGGAGGTAAGCGCCGATCTGGGAGCTACGGTAATAAGCGCCGAACTAAGAACACCAGTAGTAAGCACCGTTCCGGGAACACCGGGAGGAAGCGCCGATCCGGGAACACCGGTAAAAAGCACCGAACTGGGAACACCAGTAGTAAGCACCGATCCGGGAACACCGGGAGAAAGCGCCGATCCGGGAGCACCGGTAAGAAGTGCCGAACTGGGAACACCAGTAGTAAGCGCTGATCCGGGAACACCGGGAGGAAGCGCCAATCCGGGAACACCGGGAGAAAGCGCCTATCCTGGAGCACCGGTAGTAAGCGCCGAACCAGGACATCACTAGTAAGCGCCGATCTGGAACCACCAGTAGTAAGCGCCGATCCGGAAATACCAGTTGTAAGCGCCGATCCGGGCACACCGGTAGTAAGTGCCGAACTGAGACCACCAGTAGTAAGCGCCGATCCGGGACCATCGGTAGTAAGAGCCGATCCGTGACCCCCAGTAGAGAGTGCCGATCCGGGAACACCGGGAGAAAGCGCCGAACCGGGAGTACTAGTAGTAAGGGCCGAATTGGACACAAGCGGCGCTCTGAAAGACATCACGTGATCGGCAACAAGCGGCGCTCTCACCGATATCTGGCCGAAAGGAAACGACGCTTGTGAGGCAAATGGTGCACTAGAATAAAGTGGTGGTCTAGAAGCAAGTGACACATTTGACTGAGACACCGAATGCGAATCAGACGAAGTAACAACCACCGTAGACAGATGAGGTTGTGGAGAGGACGTAGACAACACAACAACCCTAGATGGAGACGAGTCTTCCAACGTGATGGGGTTAAGGCCACGCGGTCGGAACAGTTGTCGTAAGTTCTCACTGAGGTAAGAATCAGACGCCTCCCCCTAAGAAATCTTCAGTTGGAGACGGGGACCTCGAACGACGGACTGCCATAGTTCTACGACGTTCGTCCTTGGGACGTTTCGATGCCAACGGACCCTCAGATAGTTGATGGCGATCTCAATCGGATAATCGTCTACCAGCCACCCGGCGATATGCCGAGAAATCATCATCATTGAGATCCTTACAAAAAGTACGACGACGCGACCATTCACATTCACATGTGCCTAAACAGTCTACACACAAGCCATGTGGATCCGCCGCCGAAAATTACTGTTGCATTTATCACAATGCTTTCGTTTCTTAGAACTACTGCTATTAGACTTTCCCATAGTTGAAGAAAAACCGCAAACAAACTTTCTATAGACAAGCACACGTCCACACAGACGTAGCGACAAGAAAGAGAATGACAGGCACAGGTAGTCATATGATCATCTGAGCGAGCTCCACGCTTACAGAGATGATTGACAGGTGCTGATGTCGGAGTGAGGGCAGAGGTCAGGGCGGGGCAGAGGCCAGCAAGATTTGATTCAACTTAGCCTACAGCACGTTTCCACACATGGTCGTAGAAGAAGAGAAGAGGTGCATACCGTGAGATAGGATAAGTTTAAAAATGATATAGTCTAAGACCTTGTTATTAACGTTATACTCAACTAAATCAGTAGTAAGTATCAACATATAGTTTGATACTGAATATAATGTGATAGAAATTTATTATGCATGGTACGTGTTCTACTACATATTTATTTAAAGTATTTTATTAAAAAATCGTATATTTTTACTGTTAACGTAGTCGCGTATTTTGTGTTGCTTTTTTCTAATAATAACGTAATCTCTGGACACAGGCGATATTTAATAATTACTCACGTACAATATATTTAATTCAACATTTCAAGTGCAAATTGTGGCATGTAAAATCGTTCTTCGCCTCCATTGATTATTTCTAATGCCTCCTTATCTTAAAATGATCACTTCAGATCAGTGAACATTTGTGCCAAGTTTGGTGCTTTTATCACATTTTGCACAATTATTTTGCTAAGCAGCCTAACTACAGCAAAATAGGTGTTAATTGTATAAACAAGAAGTTATAGATATTTTCTGGATTTCTTAACCAACATCATACAGCTGGAATATTGTGGAGTGCGGCATAAAACTAAACTCACTCACATTTACAATAGAGACAAATATGTGCGATTTTCTTGATCAAGTCTACCTGCGAAAACATTCCTGTCTCTCCAATCAGATGTGCAGATTTCCAATCAGTTTCTTTTGCACCGATATTTATTGTTCATGATATTTGAATGAAATATTTTCTAAGTAACACAGGAAGACAATTAAATATGAATCTATTTAATGTCACATGAAAACAGTGAATCACAATTTGACTTGAATGACACAAGTACATATGATAAATGTGACAATGATCAAACACCCTGCCCTGGTAGAAAACTGAAAATATTCCATCACCAAAGCACGACAGATATTCACCCATGACAACCTACCTCCTGTGCACACAAACCAATTTACAGTCCTTGTTTGAAACAGAATTCGTTGGTTTGCAACCCTTTTCCTTCTTTGTGACAGCTCAACAACCATACCATCTGTCAGAGGTTAAGTTTCTTATAAAAACATAGATAACTCACAGCCATGCATATTGATAACAATTTAACCGGATTTTTTACTCGGGATAAAAAGAATATTGAAGAATTAACAAGATTAACATCATGAACAAAAATATAACTCCACTTTACTTAGGCCAGACAAATTATATTTCTTGTTTTATGTATTTTTGTCCTCAGAAAACCTAAAGGCAGGAGGGGAAAAAATCACCAGACAAAGTGATATTCCTTATAAATACTAAAAGTATTTTACTTTTGGCACCTTATGAATGTGGGGCAAAACAATTTTCGTGTAAGTTTACATTTTGGGCCTATAAAAACATTCATATTATTCTTGAAAAAATATGACAGGCAGATCAATAAAACAAGAAATAAAATTGGTCTGGCCTTAGCTAATTCTCAGACTTTTTAATACACAGATATTTGATACATACAATTCTCTGATCAGTTTTCTGATCTCATTTCTCTGATTCCAGTGATATATTTTGATGCTTGGGACAGTTACACATAAATTTGAAAAGCCAATTATGTTACTAAACAGAAAAATTGACACTCAGGTTGGCTTAGTAACGCCATTGATGTCAAAGTGAGCCAGAATCCCCCAGTGATCACTTGGGAACCTTTGGTTTGGGAGTCTAGAAAGGCCAGACAGTTCGAAGTACACAGGGGTCACTTTGGGTCTGGGTTTACAATGGCGGACGTAGAGTCGGTCAAATCTCAGGAATGATTTGTAGCCTGGATATTCATGGTTGTCATTTCTCCTCATGTCCCACGTGAACTTGGCCTCTGGACGCTGGCCCGTCATCTCCCATATGTCGTAGATATCTTCTGGAACACCTCCCACCTGGGCAACCTGAAGACCAGACAACTTAGTTCCAGTATGGTGTACTGAATTTGTTGATTTACAGCAACATTTACAGATGGACTGAAACACTAGTGATGCCAACATGATATACTGAAACACTAGTGATGCCAACATGATATACTGAAACACTAGTGATGCCAACATGATATACTGAAACACTAGTGATGCCAACATGATATACTGAAACACTAGTGATGCCAACATGATATACTGAAACACTAGTGATGCCAACATGATATACTGAAACACTAGTGATGCCAACATGATATACTGAAACACTAGTGATGCCAACATGATATACTGAAACACTAGTGATGCCAACATGATATACTGAAACAACATGATACTAGTGATGCCAACATGATATACTGAAACACTAGTGATGCCAACATGATATACTGAAACACTAGTGATGCCAACATGATATACTGAAACACTAGTGATGCCAACATGATATACTGAAACACTAGTGATGCCAACATGATATACTGAAACACTAGTGATGCCAGCATGATATACTGAAACACTAGTGATGCCAACATGATATACTGAAACACTAGTGATGCCAACATGATATACTGAAACACTAGTGATGCCAACATGATATACTGAAACACTAATGATGCCAACATGATATACTGAAACACTAGTGATGCCAACATGATATACTGAAACACTAGTGATGCCAACATGATATACTGAAACACTAGTGATGCCAACATGATATACTGAAACACTAGTGATGCCAACATGATATACTGAAACACTAGTGATGCCAACATGATATACTGAAACACTAGTGATGCCAACATGATACACTGAAACACTAGTGATGCCAACATGATATACTGAAACACTAGTGATGCCAACATGATATACTGAAACACTAGTGATGCCAACATGATATACTGAAACACTAGTGATGCCAACATGAAACATATGAACTGAAACACTAGTGATGCCAACATGATATACTGAAACACTAGTGATGCCAACATGATATACTGAAACACTAGTGACTAGCATGATATGCTGAAACACTAGTGATGCCAACATGATATACTGAAACACTAGTGATGCCAACATGATATACTGAAACACTAGTGATGCCAACATGATATACTGAAACACTAGTGATGCCAACATGATATGCCACTGAAACACTAGTGATGCCAACATGATATACTGAAACACTAGTGATGCCAACATGATATACTGAAACACTAGTGATGCCAACATGATATACTGAAACACTAGTGATGCCAACATGATATACTGAAACACTAGTGATGCCAACATGATATACTGAAACACTAGTGATGCCAACATGATATACTGAAACACTAGTGATGCCAACATGATATACTGAAACACTAGTGATGCCAACATGATATACTGAAACACTAGTGATGCCAACATGATATACTGAAACACTAGTGATGCCAACATGATATACTGAAACACTAGTGATGCCAACATGATATACTGAAACACTAGTGATGCCAACATGATATACTGAAACACTAGTGATGCCAACATGATATACTGAAACACTAGTGATGCCAACATGATATACTGAAACACTAGTGATGCCAACATGATACACTGAAACACTATGATGCCAACATGATATACTGAAACACTAGTGATGCCAACATGATATACTGAAACACTAGTGATGCCAACATGATATACTGAAACACTAGTGATGCCAACATGATATACTGAAACACTAGTGATGCCAACATGATATACCTGAAACACTAGTGATGCCAACATGATATACTGAAACACTAGTGATGCCAACATGATATACTGAAACACTAGTGATGCCAACATGATATATATGAAACACTAGTGATGCCAACATGATATACTGAAACACTAGTGATGCCAACATGATATACTGAAACACTAGTGATGCCAACATGATATACTGAAACACTGAGTGATGCCAACATGATATACTGAAACACTAGTGATGCCAACATGATATACTGAAACACTAGTGATGCCAACATGATATACTGAAACACTAGTGATGCCAACATGATATACTGAAACACTAGTGATGCCAACATGATATGCCAACATGATGCTGAAACACTAGTGATGCCAACATGATATACTGAAACACTAGTGATGCCAACATGATATACTGAAACACTAGTGATGCCAACATGATATACTGAAACACTAGTGATGCCAACATGATATACTGAAACACTAGTGATGCCAACATGATGAATACTAGTGATGAAACACTAGTGATGCCAACATGATATACTGAAACACTAGTGATGCCAACATGATATACTGAAACACTAGTGATGCCAACATGATATACTGAAACACTAGTGATGCCAACATGATATACTGAAACACTAGTGATGCCAACATGATATACTGAAACACTAGTGATGCCAACATGATGATACACTAGTGATGCAAACACTAGTGATGCCAACATGATACTGAAACACTAGTGATGCCAACATGATATGACTGAAGAACACTAGTGATGCCAACATGATAGCATGATATACTGAAACACTAGTGATGCCAACATGATATATATTGAAACACTAGTGATGCCAACATGATATACTGAAACACTAGTGATGCCACATGATATACTGAAACACTAGTGATGCTAACATGATACCGAAACACTAGTGATGCCAACATGATATACTGAAACACTAGTGATGCCAACATGATATACTGAAACACTAGTGATGCCAACATGATATACTGAAACACTAGTGATGCCAACATGATATATTGAAACACTAGTGATGCCAACATGATATACTGAAACACTAGTGATGCCAACATGATATACTGAAACACTAGTGATGCCAACATGATACACTAGTGATGCCAGCAAAACACTAGTGATGCCCAACATGATATGATGCCAACATGAAACACTAGTGATGCCACACATGATATACATTGAAACACTAGTGATGCCAACATGATACCAAAACACTAGTGATGCCAACATGATATATTGAAACACTAGTGATGCCTACATGATATACTGAAACACTAGTGATGCCAACATGATATACGGAAATACTAGTGATTCCAACATGATACCAAAACACTAGTGATGCCAATATGATATATTGAAACACTAGTGATGCCAACATGATATACGGAAACACTAGTGATGCCAACATGATACCAAAACACTAGTGATGCCAACATGATATACTGAAACACTAGTGATGCCAACATGATACCGAAACACTAGTGATGCCAACATGATATATGATGAAACACTAGTGATGCCAACATGATATATTGAAACACTAGTGATGCCAACATGATATACTGAAACACTAGTGATGCCAACATGATATGATATACATGAAACACTAGTGATGCCAACATGATGTGATGCCAACATGATACCAAAACACTAGTGATGCCAACATGATATATTGAAACACTAGTGATGCCAACATGATATACTGAAACACTAGTGATGCCAACATGATATAAACACTAGTGATGCCAACATGATATACTGAAACACTACATGATGCCAACATGCCAACATGATATACTGAAACACTAGTGATGCCAACATGATATACTGAAACACTAGTGATGCCAACATGATATACTGAAACACTAGTGATGCCAACATGATATACTGAAACACTAATGATGCCAATATTATACAGAAACACTAGTGATGCCAACATGATATACTGAAACACTAGTGATGCCAACATGATATACAGAAACACTAATGATGCCAACATGATACCAAAACACTAGTGATGCCAACATGATATATTGAAACACTAGTGATGCCACTATATACTGGTAGTAGATTGAAACTAGATTCATAAACCACTGTTCATGTTGAATCACTACAGCCTAGAAAGAAAGCCATGTTACCTCCTTGTCTCTCAAGTTGGTATCACCACCAAATATGACAGTTCGGTCAGGATCGGCTTGTTTCATTGCCTCCAATGCCCGTACTAACTGTCTCTTCCTCTCGTCACTGTGGGCAGCTGTACTCTCCAGGTGGGAGCGTCATCACTTGGAATTGGATGCCTTTCACACGACACTGCAGAAATAGTTACCATGGCTACATATAATCTCACATATTGTTTCAACAAAAGATAAAAAGTAAACAGCATCATCTCCAGCAGAATCATGAGAAAGGTCTGAAAGCCGGACTCTAAAGCTGCTGCTTGAACAGATATGAGACAACAGGAAGATTGTTCAGTAATGAAACAGCATGTAAGCTTTGGTGAGGTAAACAATTTCAAAATGGTGTATAACAATGAATTTAGGATTTTGGCACTTATACAATAACGCCTGCGTGCCCATGTGCATGCATGCGCGCTGATGAGCATGTGTGCTTGTGGGAATGTGTGTGGGTGTACGTGAGAGTGAGCATGGGCAAATAGGTGTGAGGGTGTGTCTGCTTGTACTAGGGCTGAAAATGCAAGGTGTACATGAGCTTGCCCACTGAGAAACCAATGTTTAACATGGATAACTTACTTAGAGACAGTATTGTCAATTTGTGACTCCGAACCAACCACGTAATATTTTATTCCCATCGAGGGTGACAACAAGTTATCTTTCAATGTCCTTGCAATGGAGCAACCTGAGATCAAACCACCGACACTTCCTTCCTTGCTGTATTCACTACTCCAAGGTCTGTAAGTTTGATGTTGGTGAAAGATTAATGAAGCTTTGGGATGTGTGTGGTGTGACAAACCAGGATTGCAATTTTGGATCACTGAACCATTTCATAGGATCCTTGCACACATAACTCAGGCAACCATCAGGGCTGGAAATAACCCATTCCCCGATGCCCGAGTCCAGTGGTTTTTTCTGTAGGGCAAGCCAATTTGTATATCACACTGTACCGGTGTCCAGTTGACTTTCCAATATTAATTATTTTGTTTATTTTAAAAAATCAACAAGAAAACGGCCGGTATAGTGGAAAAATTATCAGGGCAAGTGATTTTACATGTGCCACTGTACCGGAGTACATTAGCAATTTTAAAGTTATTTCCACCCCTGAACCATACTTCAGCCCGCAAAGTCTCAAACTGTTCTGGTGAAAATTCTCTTGATAATCTATATCCTTGACCTTAAATTACAGCACTCAAAATCAGGTTTTGTTTCCCACACTTCCTTCCTTGCTGTATTCACTACTCCAAGGTCTGTAAGTTTGATGTTGGTGAAAGATTAATGAAGCTTTGGGATGTGTGTGGTGTGACAAACCAGGATTGCAATTTTGGATCACTGAACCATTTCATAGGATCCTTGCACACATAACTCAGGCAACCATCAGGGCTGGAAATAACCCATTCCCCGATGCCCGAGACCAGTGGTTTTTTCTGTAGGGCAAGCCAATTTGTATATCACACTGTACCGGTGTCCAGTTGACTTTCCAATATTAATTATTTTGTTTATTTTAAAAAATCAACAAGAAAACGGCCGGTATAGTGGAAAAATTATCAGGGCAAGTGATTTTACATGTGCCACTGTACCGGAGTACATTAGCAATTTTAAAGTTATTTCCACCCCTGAACCATACTTCAGCCCGCAAAGTCTCAAACTGTTCTGGTGAAAATTCTCTTGATAATCTATATCCTTGACCTTAAATTACAGCACTCAAAATCAGGTTTTGTTTCCCACGTATTATCAAGTAAGTGAGTGAGTGAGTGAGGGAGCGAGGGACGGAGGGAGGGAGGGAGCGAGCATGGTTTTATGACACTTATAGCAATATTCCAGCAATATCATGGCAGGGGACACCAGAAATAGACTTCACACATTGCACCCATGTTTGTAATCGAACCCGGGTCTTCGGCATGATGAGCCAACGCTTTAACTGGGCTACCCTCCCACCCTATTGTCATGTGTATCTACTGTGATAAAACCCATTCTCTACCATATTCATATTAGGAGCCTATCCAAAAAGCACAATACAAAGCATAGCCATCCAATACAAGTACTCTGAGTGAGAGAAATTTGGAATGTCACATGACTTTTCCAGGGTGTTTCAACACTACAATCAATGCGATACAGTACAAGTAAGTATTAAAGTGACTTATTCTTTATTGATTCCGTTATCTTTGAAGTACAAGGAAACTCTGTAAAACCAAAAACATTGGGAATAACTATAACAACATAAATGTAGAATTTTTAATTCCAATTTGGAATTATACTGACATATGTTGAAGATTCGATTTACCATCATAGAAGTGTAAGACCCCAGATAATCGATGTTGATATGCCAGTTGATATATCAACAGCCACAGGGGTGGAAATAACCCATTGCCCGACACCCAAGTCCAGTGGTTTTTTCTGTCGGGCAAGCCAATTTGTATATCACACTGTAACGGTGTCCAGTTGACTTTCCAATATTAATTATGTTGTTTATTTAAAAAATCAACAAGAAAACGGCCGGTATAGTGGAAAATTTATCAGGGCAAGTGATTTTACATGTTCCACTGTACCGGAGTACATTAGCAATTTTAAAGTTATTTCCACCCCTGACCCACAACAAACATAGGGCACTGCAGATACAATGAGACAAGGATTTCTGATGAAAGACTACACTAAGCTAACATGAAGCTTACTTTGACTGTTGAAAGGTTCCTCAACATCTTGCTGTTGGGGAATGGTGTAACTGAACTGTCCTCATACTCTACATGTCCAACACTCAGCATGATAGCAGTAAAATAGTGGTTGTCTCCCCCTGGAATCAGCTGGTACATGCTGCACCCATCCTCCAGCATTGGGAGGGTTAGGGGGGTCACTTCCTGGAGGAACACTATGTGGGGCTTCTCCCTGAAACAATATTTAGTTACACATGAGCACAAATATTTCACTAATTATTAGGGCTGCAATGATTCGGTTTGATTCATCGAATATCTAACCTGACACCTTATTTTCGATAACCATTATCACTATTTCAATTCGATATTTGAATACCTATTTAAATCATTTCCACACAGCAAGAACGTAATTTTGACTCCAACTCGAGCAGTTTGGAGCACCGGAATAAGGCAAAACGTGATTGGTTGACGCCGAGCTTATTATCCAATGAGAATTCTTGTTAATAGACATAGCAAAGTGGACGATAGATTTCACGCTAAAGAAGGAGACTCTGAGAGTTAACTGAAATTTGATGTTTTCACGTGTATGAAGAATCGAATCGAAAATGATCGAATTGAGAATCCAATATCAAAAATCCAATCCAATCGAGGCCTGAGTGAATCTCTACTAATTATCATGTCTGCATGACTGCCGTTACAGGTCTGAATGGAAGCGATTTGTCAGTGCTTGCTATGGTCTTGTTCCTTTGTAATTTGGATTTCAGCAGATAATAATGACTGAATCATGCCCGGTAAATGTGTTAAAGAATCCAGGGCTCCAGATAACTTTTCAACATCAAGAGTACGTACTCCTTATTTTTTCAATATAGGAGTACTGGAAAAACCTAAAAGTACATTTAGAGCACTGAATGGAATTTAATGGAGTATCAGTAATCTTGTGTTTTGTTTCATATATGCACCACAACATTGTTACTCTTGTGTAAACAGGACAATAAACAATAAAACAATACCTTTTCAGATGAATTTACGCTTGATAATGATTCTAAGGCCATACGCCATTGCTGTGGTGCGTATCTGCTACGGTTTTCTTAATTTTTCCTTCCGTATCGTGCATATTCTATATCCGTACATCCGCCGATACGGCCCGTAACTGGAGCCCTGAGAATCACTAATCTTGCCTGTTTGAATGATAATTATTTACTTATTGATGATGTCACAAACAGCCTGCGTCCTTGCTTTGATGCTCCCAGTGTCAAGGCCATCTAAGTTCCAGGACAAGAGGCGGATGCGGTGGGGCTCAGGATCAGGTCCTTCCCTGAAACATTGTAGGAAACACATATTATGGAAGACATCTGACTGAAACATTGAAGAAAACACCTGACTGGCTTATTGTAAGGAAACACCTGACTGAAACGTCCAATAATCAACATTGCATGATAATATGACACAGGTTAAAAACATCTGTCTGAAACACTGAAACAAACTCATACTTGAAACACTTCGTAAAACATCTGACTGAAACATTTCACAAAACACATGCCTGAACACCTCAATGAAATACTTCACTTCTGGAGCTGTTCTAACAAAAACATATGGCTTTGCTGCCCTTTTCAAATATTTGGCCACAAGAAATCATAAGGGTAAAAAGGGTGGATCTAATTTCTAAACAAAAAATCCTGTTCCTTAATTGCCTAGCCTTTTTCCTTCAAGCATTGGGGTAATGAGGAATATTGACACCCTGGAAAAAACCCAATGGCTTATTGAGATCAAGTTTATCAGGGATAGGCATTGTGATCGTCACTTACCCCAGCTGTGACGGTTGGTGCAGATAATTTTTTTGCTGTCTGTGTTGATAGGCCAACTTTGTTGCTTGGAATTGGTATCAATGGCTCACCCCCGTCTCAGTCAATAAACCGAAATAAGCATTCAGTGCCATCTGAAATGATTCTAATAATATAGCTGGGTTTTTAAAAAGCGATTTATTGGATATAAGTGTCAAATTGCTGTACATTTTAGGGAGGTGATGGCCAAATGATGGCCATACAGTCAAAGTCAAACAAGAGCAAACAACATAGATGCACAAACAACTCTTTACTAAGATAAACAAGATGACATGAGACAAACTGACCTCATGTCAAACAAAATATATTAATCACAATATCTAAATTAATAACAATATGTAGAATTATATGGCACACTTATACAAAATGGTATCTTCACATTACAACAGGGTTTTACACAGACTTTTAAAAATGGGAGTCATGGTGACTCTATTTATTTTTGGGATTCATTTTCAATATTTGGGAGTCATGAAAATTTAATATTTCTTTGTGTTTATCATTCTCAGTATGTAACTGTGTATGTCACACCACCAAATGAAACTACAGCATTGTTCAATTCAAACAGGCAGGATTACTCTCTACTCTGAGTTCTCTGGAACAATCTGACAGCTCTCTAAAACTATCATCGAACAATATCATTTTTCGCTTATCAAATCGATTTTATTGAACTGAATTGTGAGGGCCACCTATAAAACGTGCGTCAAGCTTGACTCGTAGGATAGTAATTTGAGAGTCATTAACAAAATTGTTGCGTCAAATACGCAGGAATCACGCATCATGTAAAACCCTGATTACAAGCTATTAATAACTAGGATCGCAACAAACATAACAAAATGCACATAATATGTGCTATGATTCTAAAAGAGATTAATACATTCACTCAATCCAGCGCTCTGTAGAGACTAAGGATTAGTGGTGGTCCGATTAATTGAAATAATCGAAGATTGGTCGAAGTGGTCAAACGACCAAGCAATCGATCACATTTTCTCATAATCGAACACAAACGATTTTGGAACCGCTGTAATAGAGTTTGAAATACTTGATGATGGAACATATCTAGGACGTTGTCAGGGCCTGAAAACGTGTTTATTTCTAAGAAAACTCACTTCACTTTCTGAAAAGTCATGACTGAATATTTCTTGAAGAATCTGGGAAGTTAATGTTACACTGGAACTGAATCATTTTACACTAAACTAAACTCAGTCCAGTCAGTCAGTCTGCAACTACAACCTGAATAGGAAAATCTAAAAAATGACGCTAATCATTTTTTTTTCGATGATTGGTTGTTGGTATTGAACCAATCATCAATTGTGAGATTTCAACCAATTCCTAACACCACTAAGGATACACTACACTACACTACACAGATACACTACACTACACAGATACACTACACAGATACACCACACTACACAGATACAACACACACAACCATACTACACAACTACACCACACTTTCAACACTACACTGAAGACAGGAAACCAACAACACATGGATAGCACAGTTGTCGAACCAACCTCGACATTCCATTCCCTGTCTTGCAGATAGAACATGGCGAGGGCAGTATCGGTGCCGGTCACCTGGGCAAACATCTGACACCTCTCCTCGCACTCCTCCCTGGAAGGGAGATTCTTCTCATCTACATCACTGTCAGCCTCACTGTCGGACATCCTGCGATCTACTCCTGCTCCTCTCGGCTGTGCTGCTGGCGAAATCTACCGGAAGTTGCAGAAATCAGCCCAATGTTGCAGATAATCACCCAGTAGAGTGGAGATCTACCCTATAGGAGCTGCTGACTGAATTCAATGCTGCTGTGTTGGTGGTCTACCCAGAGCTACAGGGATCTATCTCTGGGACTGTTATTTGTTATCTAGGCAACTAGCTGAAACACGATAAAGCTGTACTTATAAAAGAGGACATATTTGACAAAACTGAGTGTGTGTATTGCTCACTGCATTCAATCACTCAAACTTTGAGGAGATCTTAATTCCAGTGACAGAGGTGAGGTGAAATTGGGTTTTACGTCGTGCTTGAGAATATTTCGCTCATATGACGACGTGCATGCGTGTGTATGTGTATGTGCGGCTGCTTGTACTAGTCCAGACTTAAGCTGGTTTTATAGTGCTAGCCCACTGAGATACCATGCCGCAGTGAAGCAGGAATACCCCACTCAGACACATTATACTGACTCCGACCGACCAGTCCTTGTTGTACCCATTAATGCCGAGCGCCAGGCAGGGACCAACAAGTACCATATTTTAACGTCTCTTGGTATGACGCGGTCGGGGATCGAACCCGCGACCTTCCGCTCTCCGGGCGGACGCTCCAACCACTACACCACGGAGGCGGTGTCCAGTGACAGAAACCTTAATGATCCATGATTGTCCACAACACTTGACACACCCTAACTGTGAATCTTTATTTATACTTTACACATGTGACTACTGACAATAAACTGATAGATTTGGCAATACGGACAATGGATGTTTCAAACGAAAATGTCATGTACACTGGATCTACCAAAGTTGTGTTTGTGTATTTTTAGTAGAGCCAGACTGGAAATGTTCCACGTTCACAAAGCAATACGGTACACAATTCTAACTCAACAGTCTTGTGACTAGCATTAAGCTACATCCATAGTTATACTGGCTATCTCTAAGTTCAGGGACCACGAAATGACTTTGACAAGCACACATGAAGCATACATGAACATTTCGGTTAAATACCTTCCTATTGAGATAAATATGCAATACGCCCCTGACATGGACTGGCATCTGATTATTCAGGCATTGCTTACTTCAAGTGCCTCTACTGTGCCGACAATGCCTTGCTAATGTGAAACAAAGCTTTTGATTTTCAGACTTTTTGCCGACATAGAAAGTACTCCCGCCTCTTTACGGTGGGGAATCCCTTCATCGTCAAAACGAGGCTCATAAATTTATTTTTAGAAGTGCCCTTTCAGAGCGAAGTTACTCGGTTTCCATAACATATGTATGTAGGAGAGCATCAGGGATAAGTTAGAAATTCATCCTTACGCAATATTCATCCTTCAATATTGGAATCCTTCATTGTTAAAGGCAGTTATCGATAGATTCTAACGAGATTTATCTTTTCGAAATGTAGAGTTTCATGCACACAAAAACAGTTATTGTGGAAAAACTACCAGCGCCTTGAGCATGTTTGTGTGTGGATATGTGCGCTTTATAAATATCCAGTAATAATAATAACAATAATAATATTGTATATAATGATAATATTCTGATAGTGATTAGAGAGAAGCAAACCTTTCATATTACCCTGTTAGATGTTTTTTGTTTTGTTTTTATGACCAATGAGTTGGTGAATATAATAAGAATGATTCTTGGCACAGCGTTCAAGAAGATACAACGTGACTATAGTCAAGTATAATGTTTAAGCACAAAGAAACACGACATCGGTATTTCTTAATGATGTTGCTCATAGGCGGATCCAAAAAGGGGGGGGAGGGGGGTAGAGGGGGCGCAAACACACACACACACACCCTAGTCCAGATAGTTTATTTAATGACCGGTGAAAATGAAGTGTGCACCCCACCTTTTCTCAATAGTGTGCAAACCTCCCACCCACCCCTTTCTCAAAAACTGTATCCGCTTTTACACAGGCGCCTAGATGTGGGCCTATTATCAATACGACGTAAAATGTTAACTCACTCACTCAAACTCGTTTGCTTTAGGCAAGTCTACATATATAAACACTTGATGAACGCATGATAACAGTGATTAATCAATCAATGTATTTTTGCAACTCAACTAGCATATAGTCTTAGTAATTAAGTAATCTGTGTTCTGTCAACACCTCAACAATTAATACTTGTAACAACGTCATTGATTGGGTATCAGGTGAATAACGACATATACAGACGGTGTAACGCCTATACAATAAAACATAGATGACAAGAGGATAGTTGTAACTTTTTCTTGCAGTTTGCCTGGAAAAGTCAGAGCTGGTGCTGTGTTTTGTTAGACTTTATTGTTGCACAAATAGTACGTATGTATACGCATAAATACTGTCTACTGAAGTACATAATTTTACAAACACATTTAAACACATATACAAATTTTCAAGGGAAGTGCTTCCGTAAGCATTTTCTGTTTAAATATGAGAATTCATGGGGATTCCCCTATATTTCAACGAGGTCCTCCCTTGACGGTCCGGAACCCAGTTTGTTGGGTGGCTGACGCTAATTGCCTTAGTTCATAGGCGGATCCAGATGGATCATGAAAGTTTGTTAAATGACTATTGAAACTCGGGTGAAAATGAAGTGTGCACCCACCCACCCCCTCCTTTTCTCAATAGTATGCAACCCTACCCCACCCCCTTTCTCAAAAAGCTGCATCCGCCCCTGCAGTTGATTATGCGGTCTAATTAAACTAAAGAGAGAAAAAAATATCAAATAGAAATCACCAATATTACAAAACGACAAACCACCATTGTGATAAAGGATAAGTGAATTTTACTAAGAGGTGTATGGGCAACATGCGTGAAGGTCCGGGTTAGAATATTGGCCTTCAGTAACCCATGCTTGTCGTAAGAGGCGACAAACGGGATCGTGTGGTCAGGCTCGCTGACTTGGTTCACACATGTCATCGGTTCCCAATTGCGCAGATTGATGCTCATGCTGTTGATCACTGGATTGTCTGGTCCAGACTCTATTCTTTACAGACCGCCGCCATATAGCTGGAATATTGCTGAGTGCGGCCTAAAACTAAACTCACTCACTCATTCTTTTGCCCGTTATAGTTTAGATTGGAGTCAGTTGGACGACAGCGATTGGAGTATTGTTTCCCTTTAAGGGCTTTTGTGCTGAATAAGGACAAGCTACCATGGACAAACAACTTACTTATTATAACCGAGGCGATTTCCATCAAGCAAGTGGCAAATGTTTTCAAATCTATACCGAGATGTCTTCTCAATTTTAATGAAGACTTTGCTCACCCATGAGGAACAGACCTTCAGCCCTGGATTAGACTGGTGAATATGTCAACGAGACTAGTTTCAAAAGTGTCACGCGGTAACTAGGGGCGTCCGAAACTTTGTGGCTACTTTTTGTTGTAGTTTCCATTTTGATGCTCATATACGTTTTTCAGATATGGAGACAAACCACTAGGTGTTATAGAACCTCCTTCATAAATATGATGCACAGGCGGATCCAGAAGGGGGTGCAGGGGTGCGCACCCCTTTTTGTCCTGAAAGGTTTTTTAAATGACCATTGAAACTCGGGTGAAAATGAAATGTGTACCCTCCCTTTTCTCAATAGTATGCACCCCCCTTTCTGTAAAAGCTGTATCCGCCCCTGCCAGATGTTAACTAATTTTAGTACACATTAAAATGACATCGATGAAGGTTTTCCTAACACCAAACCGATCAAACCAAAAACATAATTCCTTTGGTACAGTCGGAGTTGATGAGAGACGGGTAGCTGTGTTTCAGAGTATAGGATGTTATAGTCCTCTCAGTAAAGAACAGTTTGAATGTTCACATCTTTGCCGTAGAAATGAAAGTATCGTTATCGTGTGAATCTGTGGGAGTATGTCATCTAAGTCCCCCAACTAACTTGTTCTGCACATGCAATGAGGCCCCTACATCCACGGTCTGTCTGTAACATCGCTTAATGACACATGTAGGAAGAGGTTTTTAAGTTGTGTTCATGTATGTGAAGCTATTATTTGTTGTGTAGGCCAAACATCACATAGTTGATTGAAAAACTGTTTACTGATAACATGTCCTTCCTTGTCCACAGGGTATGTTTCATTGTTTGACACACCATAATCTTCAGTCAGCTTGTTGACAAACAGTAAACACGATATCTTTGATATCCTGTGCTTGTAATTTCCTTATTGCCTTGTTTCACACATTGCCTTACAGGTTGTACACAGTCAGACAAGGCCGTATGGGTTGTACACTGTCAGACAAGGCCGTATGGGTTATACACAGTCATACATGGCCGTATGGGTTGTACACTGTCATACATGGCCGTATGTGTTGTACACTGTCATACATGGCCGTATAGGTTGTACACTGTCATACATGGCCGTATAGGTTGTACACTGTCATACATGGCCGTATAGGTTGTACACTGTCATACATGTATGGGTTGTACACCGTCAGACATACAGGTTGGCCGTACAGGTTACACACTGTCATACATGGCCGTATGGGTTGTACATGGCCGTTATCAGGTTGTACACTGTCATACATGGCCGTATGTGTTGTACACTGTCATACATGGCCGTATGGGTTGTACACTGTCATACATGGCCGTATGGGTTGTACACTGTCATACATGGCCGTATGTGTTGTACACTGTCATACATGGCCGTATAGGTTGTACACTGTCATACATGGCCGTACAGGTTGTACACTGTCATACATGGCCGTATGGGTTGTACACTGTCAGACATGGCCGTATAGGTTGTACACTGTCATACATGGCCGTATGTGTTGTACACTGTCATACATGGCCGTATGGGTTGTACACAGTCATACATGGCCGTATGGGTTGTACATGTCATACATACACTGTCATACATGTCATACGTAGAGGTTGTACACTGTCATACATGGCATATAAGTTGTACACACTGTCATACATGGCCGTATGGGTTGGGTTGTACACTGTCATACATGGCCGTCATACATGTCATACATGTCCGTATGGGTTGTACACTGTCATACATGGCCGTATAGGTTGTACACTGTCATACATGGCCGTATAGGTTGTACACTGTCATACATGGCCGTATGGGTTGTACACTGTCATACATGGCCGTATGGGTTGTACACTGTCAGACATGGCCGTATAGGTTGTACACTGTCATACATGGCCGTATGTGTTGTACACTGTCATACATGGCCGTATAGGTTATACACAGTCATACATGGCCGTATGTGTTGTACACTGTCATACATGGCCGTAGAGGTTGTACACTGTCATACATGGCCGTACACTGTCATACATGGCCGTATGGGTTGTACACTGTCATACATGGCCGTATGGACTGTACAGTGTCAGACCACAGGCAAATTGTAGCGCTCTTAGGGTTGCGCAACAAAGAGAAAATGACCAGTCTTTCCATATGCGAGCGAAGCGAGCAAATGTTGGCAACATGCTTCCCTCGCTTCAGTTCGCAAAATATTTTTAATATGAAAATAAAATATAGCCATCATGAAAGGTGGACACCCATTTCCTTACAGAGTTGTACTCTCAGATTTCCAACCTCATATTTAATAATTACTCACGTACAATATATTTAATTCAACATTTTAAGCGCCACTCGTGGCATGTCAAATCGTTCTTCGCCTCCATTACCCCTGCCAGCTTCCGGTTCAACGGAGTGAAGGAACAAGAATAAGCAGAAATTAAACACAAAAATCAACATGGATTCCAATCATTTTGTCATTTTTTATGAGTCAAAGGATCATATGGGTCATAAAAACTCATGTTGTTCCATCGTGGTCACCACAAGAAATTTTAGGTAGGTGTTGAAAACCTACCATTGCAAAAATCCAGGGGATGCTAAATTAAGTTCTTTGTGTATAGGATTCTTGCATGCTAAAGGGATGCAACTCTGTAGAATATTTTGGTATCTCACACCACTGAATAGCTCATACCTCCTCTCGTCTAACAGTATTTACTTACCAAACACATAACACAAATATCTTCACATTATCTGTAACACTTTTTATTGAATGTATAAGCTTGGTGCATGTAAACTGAACAGTCAAAATTGAAACACAATGTACAAAGGGTGCCCAAAAATAAAATGGACTGTATCAAAATAAGAAAGACAATCTGGTTAATTCAGATATAAAAATATGATGGTACATATTAGTACCTCAGCTGTATCAAACTGCATCCTCAAGACCTGAGTAGATGTAAGGCCAGATGGTTTACGTAATTATACTACATTGACTTTACAGCTTGGGGTCTCCAGCCACAACCTGGGACTCAATGCCGCATTCATCAGTACCTCTCCTGATCTTAAAGAATCCTGAAACAAAGAAACGTATCATTGTTATCATAAAATGGGTTCTGAAAAATACAGGACATCTCAAGTTAACGTTATGGATAGACACTGTTGATAGTGTGCTACTGAAGGAGTGGGTTTAGGTTCACGCCACTTTTAGCAATATTCAAGCAATATCATGGCAGGGGGACACCAGAAATGGGTATCACCTATTGTACCCATGAGGAAAAGCGAACCCAGGTCTTCAGCGTGACAAGCGAATGCTTTAACTACTAGGCTACCCCACCACCCCCGACTATTGGAGGTGTGGGCACAGGTGGTCCAGTGGTCTTAGTGCTGATGTTCCCAGTGCAAGGTTGAATCCTTTAGAAGTCACTGATCCCTGGTGATCCCTGTGTGCGGTTGTTCAAACAATCTTAATGCTACAACTTTTGTTAGTCTATTTTAAGGTGTGGAAGTTGGTCACCATGGTGGTTAGAGCAACCTGGTCTCAATTTATGAACCACTGTGACATAAATCTCTGTGGACATAAGTGGACATAATGTCAATGTTCCCTGACGACAACTCACAAGGGATGTTATTCACACTTCAGTGACTGTTATTCCTAGTTGAGACTCAGTTGTGAACTGTTGTACAATAGAGCTGGGAATAGCTCACTGCAGCATTGAAGAACATTCACGTGCCCACTTTGCTGTAACATATAGACATAGATGGTACACTACCTTTATCTCCCCAGTCAGCGTTCCATGAGTTGGCTACCAGCCAGTACTCTTCCCCGTTCTCAACACCCCAGCCCAGGATCTTTATGGCATGTCCTCCAAGGGCCTCGCCGGAGGTGTGGCTGTACACACCTACATCAGAGAGCAACATGGTCAGTGGCAGGGTAGATTTACAAGGTCAGGAGGGAGCCCATACTGCAGCAGTAACAGGGCAGAGTAACATCGTCATGGGGAGTCCATACTGCAGCAGTAGCAGGGCAGAGTAACATGGTCATGGGGAGTCCATACTGCAGCAGTAACAGGGCAGAGTAACATGGTCATGGGGAGTCCATACTGCAGCAGTAGCAGGGCAGAGTAACATGGTCATGGGGACCCCAAAATACAGCAGCAGCAGGGCAGAGTAACATGGTCATGGGGAGTCCATACTGCAGCAGTAACAGGGTAACAGAGTAACATGGTCATGGGGAGTCCATACTGCAGCAGTAGCAGGGCAGAGTAACATGGTCATGGGGAGTCCATACTGCAGCAGTAGCAGGGCAGAGTAACATGGTCATGGGGAGTCCATACTGCAGCAGTAACAGGGCAGAGTAACATGGTCATGGGGAGTCCATACTGCAGCAGTAACAGGGCAGAGTAACAGGGTCATGGGGAGTCCATACTGCAGCAGTAACAGGGCAGAGTAACATGGTCATGGGGAGTCCATACTGCAGCAGTAACAGGGCAGAGTAACATGGTCATGGGGAGTCCATACTGCAGCAGTAGCAGGGCAGAGTAACAGGGTCATGGGGAGTCCATACTGCAGCAGTAATAGGGCAGAGTAACATGGTCATGGGGAGTCCATACTGCAGCAGTAGCAGGGCAGAGTAACATGGTCATGGGGAGTCCATACTGCAGCAGTAACAGGGCAGTAACATGGTCAGACTAACATGGTCATGGGGACCCCATGAGTCAAAGTACATGGCAGCAGCAGCAGTAACAGGGCAGAGTAACATGGTCATGGGGAGTCCATACTGCAGCAGTAACAGGGCAGAGTAACATGGTCATGGGGAGTCCATACTGCAGCAGTAACAGGGCAGAGTAACATGGTCATGGGGAGTCCATACTGCAGCAGTTACAGGGCAGAGTAACATGGTCATGGGGAGTCCATACTGCAGCAGTAACAGGGCAGAGTCAACACATGGTCATGGGGAGTCCATACTGCAGCAGTAACAGGGCAGAGTAACATGGTCATGGGGAGTCCATACTGTAAACATGGTCATGGATGGGGAGTCCATACTGCAGCAGTAACAGGGCAGAGTAACATGGTCATGGGGAGTCCATACTGCAGCAGTAGCAGGGCAGAGTAACAGGGTCATGGGGAGTCCATACTGCAGTAGTTACAGGGCAGAGTAACATGGTCATGGGGAGTCCATACTGCAGCAGTAACAGGGCAGAGTAACATGGTCATGGGGACCCCAAAATACAGCAGTAACAGGGCAGAGTAACAGGGTCATGGGGAGTCCATACTGCAGCAGTAGCAGGGCAGAGTAACAGGGTCATGGGGAGTCCAAATTGCAGCAGCAGCAGGGCCTAGTAGCATGGTCATGTGGGAGTCCATACTGCAGCAGTAGCAGCACCACCACCACTAAGCAACAGCACTACGACAATGCCATGCCATCATCACCAGGCCATTACACCACCAGGCCAGCATCCAATCACCAGGCCAACATACGTCCACCACCAGGCAATCCCTCCACCACAGGTCTTCCCATCACCACCAGGTCAACATCCAATCATCATCAGGCAAACATCCCACCATCACCAGGCCATCTCACCATCACAACGCCACCACATCACCAACAGGCCGTCACGCCATCAGCAGGCCATCACGCCACCACCAGGCCATCACGCCATCAGCAGGCCATCACGCCACCACCAGGCCATCACGCCATCAGCAGGCCATGATGCCATCAGAAGGCCATCTCACCATCACAACGCCACCACATCACCAACAGGCCGTCACGCCATCAGCAGGCCATCACGCTACCACAAGGCCATCACGCCATCACCAGGCTATCACGCTACCACCAGGCCATCACGCCACCACCAGGCCATCACGCCACCACCAGGCCATCACGCCACCACCAGGCCATCACGCCACCAGCAGGCCATCATGCCACCAACAGGCCATCACCAGGCCAGCAGGCCATCAGCAGGCCATCATGCCATCAGAAGGCCACCACGCCATCAACAGGCTATCACGCCACCACCAGGCCATCACGCCACCAGCAGGCCATCATGCCACCAACAGGCCATCATGCTACCAGCAGGCCATCATGCCACCAACAGGCCATCACCAGGCCAGCAGGCCATCAGCAGGCCATCATGCCATCAGAAGGCCATCTCATCATCACAACGCCACCACATCACCACCAGGCCATCACGCCACCAGCAGGCCATGATGCCATCAGAAGGCCATCTCATCATCACAACGCCACCACATCACCAACAGGCCACCACGCCATCAGCAGGCCATCACGCCACCAACAGGCCATCACGCCATCACCAGGCCATCATGCCATCAGCAGGCCATCATGCCATCAGAAGGCCACCACGCCATCAGCAGGCCATCACGCCATCAGCAGGCCATCACGCCACCACCAGGCCATCACGCCATCAGCAGGCCATCACGCCACCACCAGGCCATCACGCTTCCAGCAGGCCATCATGCCATCAGAAGGCCATCTCATCATCACAACGCCACCACATCACCAACAGGCCATCACGCCATCAGCAGGCCATCACGCCACCAACAGGTCATCACGCCATCACCAGGCCATCATGCCATCAGCAGGCCATCACGCCACCAACAGGCCATCACGCCACCACCAGGATATCACACCATCAGCAGGAAACAGCACCACCACCAGGGAGTGAGTGGGTTTTTCGTTTTATGGGGTTTTTTTGTTCAATATTCCTGCAATATCGTGGTGGGGGAACACCAGAAATGGGCTTCACCATGCAGGGAATCAAACCTGAGTTTTCTGCATGACGAGCCAACACTTTCATCACTAGGTTACCCCACCACCCACCCTCCCCAATGAACCACAGAATCTCAAGCCACATCTTAGTTCTAACCTATTCTATATCATGAAAGTAGGGATCTATATGATGATATGGTGTATCCACTCACCAGATTTGTAGGTGGGGAAATCACTGTACACAGTGAAAGCTGCCTCCACTGGTCCGTTCTTGTAGATCTCGGCCATGATCTGGTCCACATCACGCACTGAGTAGGTTCGGGACCCTGCACAAGGGAGACAACCACTAAGTATTTCAGTCACAAAATAAATATGCACAGGCTCAGGATTTTTTTAATGAAAAACTTACCATAGTGCTTGTCATTTTCATAGCTGATGTTGTAGTTTGCCTGACACTTCTTCACACACTTAGGGGTCTCGGAGTCTCCCGTGCAGGGCTTGTACTTGCCGGGAACATGGTGGTCGCAGGGGGGCAGTTTGTAGGGTTGGCACCCCTGACACACACACACCAATGTTATTATCATTCTTTATAAAGTACGAGCAAAAAGTGTTTGTTCACATCACATACACAGCTATCAGTGAAAATATTCATCAAGAATTGTACTACCATTTAAAAATATTTCGACAATTTTCAACATTTCACAGCAGTTGCGTTTTGTGTTACATGCTTACCACCATCATTAGTTTTGTTCATAAATTCGTTGAGAAATTATTTCAGACTACAATTGTGCTTAGAAGAACTACAGTTCAATGTAGAAAGCGATTAAAAGCATCACTGACCTCATTGGTGCCGTACTGACCACCAGTGACGATGCCATCTTCATCAAAGTAGTTCCATGCTGCTGATGGGAAGCCACCGTTGCATCTGTTAGCAAAGGATGACACCCCCGTAAGTCAAAATGGACTACACCATCAACCCAATCAGATGACTCTATACACCATGACAAAACACATGAAAGGAGATACATGTAGATAAATGTGTTGAATCTTGTCTATTGCTCTTGTTGATTGAAGTTACCTGTGGGGTGTGTAATGAAACCTACCCATTTCCACATGACTTGCAGCAAGTCAACAGGTCCTCTGCTGAGATGTGGAAATTCTTTGTCCCATTAGACAGGATACAGATTCTGTCGGTCATTGCCTCCACTGCACCAAAAGCCTGCATTAAGGATAAAAAATAAAAATGTAGCCACAGAAAAGAAAACATCAGTTCATAAATTATGCCAAGCCAAATGTCACAAAAGGTTAAGCCATTCCTTGGTTCATGATAGAACAAAGATAACTTCAAACATCCAGCAGATAAATATTACAGGGCAACTATTTACAGTGTTTTATTTTGAATTATGGGTATTGGCTACAGATCTAGAAATAAATATTGTAACAAGAAAAATATAAAGGAAAATGAAGGTAGCCCTTTTCTCTTCAACTTTCTGAGGGTAACATGGTAATTGAAATAATCCTTGAATTAACTTTCAAAAACATACTTTCTCCATTTCACATAACCATGCTGACTGGCCATAATTTAGGAATGTAATAATTTGAATAAAATTGATATCTTATACTTATCCTGACTCATGCTTATTATGCTTGCTCCTTCCTCTATGCAAATGATAGTGGAACACTTGTATCCCTTGTAGTTCCCTAAAGCAGACGTAAATGTAACTCACCCACAAGTTGCCTCCATTGCATACCTTTTCCCGCCAAAGGCAATTACATGACCAACCATGCTTGTCACTCTCTCCTGTATGCGCCCGACACTTGGATGTACCATAAGATCCGAAGTGCCATCCATGGGGAGGTTGGGAGGGCTTGACATCAAGAGTCAGGATAAGTATAAAATATCAATTTTATTAAAATAATTACATATTTTTCCTTATCCTGACTCATGCTTATTATATTGGTAGTGGATTCATCAGCTGTCCTTTAAGATACGTCCTGTATCTCCCCCCATGGAAACTATGTAACGGCACTTTATAAATCCTGTTCTTCTAACTTTCATCTGTCAACTTGGGGGGACCACATCTTGTCAGACTTCATTAAGACAAGTGAATCTTATAGATTCATGTGGATTTTAGATATACTAGTATCTCTTCTTACTAGTTATCTATAGCAACTTATGGGTTATGATATTTCCTTTATTATACCAGTTGCAACCCTTTCTATGTACGAGTATCTTCTATACAAGTACTGGGTTTTAATCACTCATGCTAGTCTGTCCTAGACGTATGCATGGACTTTTAACCAACTTTACAGAGCGAAGGTATTCAACAGTCACGTGATAATCGGGGTGAGACTTTAACTCAGCGCCTTTGTGGAACCGTTAGTTGTAGTGCTACAACAAGTGGCCCAAACTGGTGAATGCCGGTAACGTCTTTAGTGGCGATGTCTCTGAGGTAGTGGTTGGCAAACACCGTATCTGACTTCTAAAAGCAGCCCTCCATCATAGATGTAATTGAGCAGTTTCCATGCAGAGGAAGTGTAGACGCCAAGGCTCTGATTTCATGAGGATTGGATGCTCGCGGAGGATCTAGTCAGTCCCGCTGCTTTATAGGCCCTTAGTATAACGGTTCTCATCCAGAACGATATAGTCGTTCTTGAAACCTCTATTGATGTCTCTGTTGACAAGGGGATGAAAAGGCTTGAATTTTCTTCATCTTTTTTCCGTTCTTTGCAAATATATTTGTAAAGCTTTGACTGGACACAAGGATAGGTCTTGCGTATCCTCTGGTCAAAGGATCGTAGAGAGCGCTGGGACATGAAACTGTCTGTCCGGTTGTCCCGGTAGTTGATTCTTTGCAATAAAATCCCATCTAAGACCTAGATGTACTGCCGCACGGTGTCCTGTGTCGAATCTAGTTCATGCAAAGTCCAGTGCATGTATTTCTGACATCTGAGCCTGCCATGGCTAAAGGCTGAGATGCAGTGAGGGTGAAACAGAGTTTTGATAAGAGTAGCTCAAGGATCTTTGTCACTTGTCATTGCTTTAATAAGCAAGGATTCTTGGTGTGCGGATGTGAGTAGGGCATCAGACTAAGGCACGCGATCAAAATCAGTTGAGATGTTGTAGAACTACATTGATGATCCAAAGCTGGTGCCCTGAATTTAGCTTTTGTTGAACCTTGTGGCAAACAGAACTATGAGCGGAGATCCTAGTGTCTTTGTTATGAGCCGAAATGCCTCTTGGTGTATCATCTTGGAGGCTTGGAGATCTTGTTGATCCTTGTCTGTTTATGTAGAATGCCACTGTAGAGTTGTCTGTGTGGACTGTTAGTCTTTTGTTTATCAGCGACCTCGACCAATGTTGTAAGGCGTTGATGACTGCTTTCATTTCCAGCTGATTGATATGCAGAAGCTGTTCCTGTCTCGACCACTTTCCTGCTACTACGCTGTTGTTGAGATGTGCACCCCACCCTTGTAGTGATGCATCCACGTAAAGGTGTGTGTTGCAGACCGGCTCTTCTAAATAGGTTCCTCCGCAGACATTCGACTTGTTGGTCCACCATAGCAGATAAGTCTTTAGACTGTCTGGTATGATTATCCACTCTGCACTTTTCAAATGAGTTGTCAGGAACCTTTGCAATGGGCGCTGAGGTGAGTAGCCCGAGGAGACATTGCCATGCTCGTAGTAGTAACGGAGAGATGACTGCTTGTGAGATCATGGCCTGTATCTTTACCCAACGAAGAACCCGAAGAAGGTTCTTCTGTTTGTAGTGTCCAATTGTGAGATCTTTTTATCATCCACTTTATAAGACTTGTTACGAGATTCATTAATGAACTTGTAACCCTCATCTAAGTCCGGCGCTCTTAAAAAGGTTCCATGTGATGCAGAGGAAATCTTTTCGCATTAAATGTAGGTACGTGTTGACTCTGGTATTTAGTAGCTTTGTCGAAGGCTGAGCTAAGACTTGCAGGCACTTTAGAAACTGCCTCAATAGGCGGGATCGTGAGTGTGTCGAAATCTTCATCAAACATCTTATATGTGAGTGCTTCATTAGACTCTTTGGATGGGGACTCCAATCCATTCGCGATCCATGACGTGACTTCCCCGTCTGGGAAAACAAAGTCGCCTTCTTCTTCTGTAAGAGTTGTATTAAACACTTCCGAGTCTTCCTTTCCGAGTCTTGCCTATCTTCCTTTCATGAATGCATTTGCGAGTGCTCTGAACGTGAATCCTCCATTCGCACATGCTCTTTACGTGAATGTGAATCTTCCATTCGCGAATGCTCTTTACGTGAACGTGAATCTTCCATTCGCGAATACTCCTTTTGCGAATGGTCTTTACTAGTATGATATTCTTTGTCAGACGGTGACCGTCATCTGTATCTGTATGAACTGCGAGATTCCGAAGCAGAACAACTAGATGTAGGTGAAGATTCTTTACTGTTGTGCATTCGCGAATACTGAGATTGCGTGGATGTCTATTCATGCACTGTACCAGAGTCTTCTTTCTTTGAGGATGTTCATGAATGCGTGAATTCGCGCCTAATTTCTTCATCTGTAATATGATGAATGCCAGTTGACTCCCCTGGCGCAGGTTTGCGAATGGTCGCTCATTCTTGTACTGTGAACTGCCTCATGAAGGCCCCAGGGTCGAAACTTTGCTCTGTAGTCTTTGACTGTTGCGATGATGGTGAAGCATTCGTGAATGCTAAGCCTTCTTCCATTCTGCGTTGAGAGTGTACCGATGATACACTACTGCAATCTTTGCTACCTGATGTCTGCGTAGCTGACGGAGGGTCTTTACTGGTGTTAGTAATCTCAGGCAGCAGTAAAGGTGGTTTGTCGAACATGTCAACTTCGGCCGATGGCACGATGTCTTTAGCAAAGGATCTCTGTTGAGAACTTTTCGTTGATTGAGATAACTTCGATGAGGATGTAGATGCTGACGTTTTCTTCTTCTTTAATGTAGATGAAGATGACTTTTGTTTCTTTATCTGTGAAGACATCAGTTCTGTCGATGACAGCCTCTTTCTAGAGATAGACGCATCTTGAGCTGGAACAGAGATCTGCCCCCCGAGGCGCATTCGGCAATTCATTAGAATCATGAATTTCAACAATAGTTAGCAAATCTCGGTTACTGGGGCTATCTCTGGACTTATCAGCCATGATTGCTGAAGACCTTCGCACCTTGTCCTTAGTACGTCTATGGACAGAGAATAAATAATTATTAAATTGAAAATTTGACAAATTAATACAATGGTTGCAGCGAGAGCTGGAGGAACATCGAATAGTACAAGAAGGACATAAGGGGTGCGGATGAGCTGCTGTTGTGTCCACAACGAGAACAAGATTTCATTAATTGTAAACAAAGTGCAAACGATGCAAATATGTCACAAAATACAAAATATTTTGACAAGATTTTTATATACAATGAATGTATTTACAGTTCGAAAACCATATACAGCAAAATTTGGATGAAAGGATCTCAAATAAAAAGGATATAGTTCCGTATAGGGACTCCTGTGCACCCCCAACCATCCACAAGGGCGACGAAGGAGAGAGTGACAAGCATGGTTGGTCATGTGACTGCCTTTGGCGGGAAAAGGTATGCAAGGGAGGCAACTCGTGGGTGAGTTACATTTACGTCCGCTTTAGGAAACTACAAGGGATTCAAGTGTTCCACTATCATTTGCATAGAGGAAGGAGCAAGCATAATAAGCATGAGTCAGGATAAGGAAAAGTAATCATGTTTCTGAAATGTGTTATCTTAATTGTGACCGTATGTATTACGAGGTCAGACAATCCCTGCACAGAGGAACTACAGAGTCTTACCCAGCAAGAGCCACAGTTGGACTGATCACGGATTTCCTTCAGGGAGGGACAGTTGGGCCACGCTTCACGACCGTCAAAGTTATTTGGCAGACTGATCATGGACAGGTCATGTGTCTTCTTGGGCAGCAGATCGTTGAGTCTCTGACTCTCACCATTGATGTCCTTAACTCCCAACATACGCTTGTAGTAGGAGTGGGGCAGAGAAGGGTGGAAGTTTCTACCAGCCTGTAAAATATGCAGTCGAGCAGCACTGAAATAGCTGAAACACTCTATGAAGCAATGAACACATAATGCTATTTAGAAAGTGTAATCCCAAACATAACATGTGCTACACTCTAGGTGTCCCCAGTGCCCCATAATAAACTGAAATCATCTTCATTAGATAAAACTGCTGGGTAATAGTTCACTCCTCAATAATTGGACAAATGTCTTTTGAATCACTGAATCAATACCCTGAACAGGAGAGGAAATAACCCATTGCCCGACTTCCCAGTCCAGTGTTTTTTTCTGTCGGGCAAGCAAATTTGTATATCACACTGTACCGGTGTCCAGTTGACTTTCCAATGTTAATTATGTCGTTTATTTAAAAAAATCAACAAGAAAACGGATGGTATAGTGGAAAAATTATCAGGGCAAGTGATTTTACATGTGCCACTGTTCCGGAGTACACTAGCATTTTTAAAGTTATTTCCACCCCTGCCCTGAAACTGTGAAGCACCACAAAAACTGGTCTCCGATATCTCTATATGTTACACATGGATTTTCATCTTTGTTGAGTTGTCAGCTTATTTCATCATTCATAGCCGTAACCTCCAACTCAAGAACAACACAACAACCATGCTTGCCATGTACAGTGAGACCCCAGATACCCGGACCCCAAATATCCGGAAACCTCGCCTTCCGGTCAAATTTCATAAAAACCAATCTCTTACGTTATAAAAGTGACTGTCTATAACGGATATGCGGTTTCTCTTCCCGGACGGTAAATTTTACAAACCAACCGGTTAAAGCAATACAAAATTGACTTACTTATCCGCACAAAGTTTTGATCTACAGCTGACCGTGTGAAGGGAAGCGCGAGAGTCCGTTTTTTGCTAATCTGGATTAATGATTGATCAGCAGAGTATTGGTGGTGATTAGTAGGCCTGTCTGACACAGAGTAAATTGTCGTTGTCAAATCAAAACGACCATGCTGTTTTGGAAGTGATTTTAAACCAGAAGTGTATGCTCGCTACCGACAACTTAGAACTTAAAAGGTAAATAATCTTGTCTAGTGATGTTTAATTGCAAATTTGACGTCTTTACTGACAAAGTTGTCTTCTGTTGTTTGTTCCCGCGAAGTGATATGATGTTGTTTTCTTACCCCTGGAAAAAAGTTTGACGAAAGCGTAACTCATGAAGATAAGCCAAACCCTTCTACACACTGCTTTTTTTATCCTCAAAATTCGGCTTATAGACAATAATATACAGTAAGCCTGGATGACAGAAATCCAGATATCCGGATATTCAGTTATCCGGACAATTTACGTAAAAACGAATGTGTCCGGATATCCGGGGTCTCACTGTATTGTATTCCCATAAGCACATGTACAGGGCCGGGTCAGTGTAAAATCTGACTTGTGGCAAAAGTAGGATTGCAATGCGGATAAGGATTTGGGATGCAGATAAGGGTTTGAATTACAATTTTATAACAATCTCGATACACGAACATGATGAAACATATATTTAACTTTCTGAACAACAGCATAACCTGATCCAAACAAGAATATATGTGTGCTCACAAGGCCAGCCATGCCCCACACATCAACTGTTTGGCAGATCTTACAGCTTCCTTGTTACTGTTTGTGATGGACAAACAGAAAATATCAATCCATTTTCAATATCACCTGAAACACATATGTATTTCAGTTTACAGCCTTAGGGTTGTTATTCTGGGCCTGTTTCACACAGCAATTTTAGAGCTACAGCTTGCATAAGTATTTACCAAAGTATTGAAGTTATGATCATTTTTGCACAAAGTTCACTGTGTAAAACTGGGCTCTGATGTATCAAGAAATGTATTCTATTGCCTTCCATACTAACCAAAGCGTCAGCAATTAAAAGTCACTTGCAGGATTTAAAACTGACCTTCCAAGTTTTCTGCACAGAGTTGATTGTGACAATCATGGTGTCTATGTCCATATGATAATATTCAGGTGCCGCCATGGCAACCACCGCCAAGCAGCACACAACCAGAAGAACCTTCATCTGAAACACACAAGATAGTTCATACAAGCATTGTCACTAAGGTGACATAATCCCCCGCGCAAATTATCAAATCAAACTTAAAAAGTAATGAAAGTGAAGGTCGTAGTTTAAGATGAAGTTAAATGTCAACAAAAACATGACCAGTCAACCTCTCTTGATATCTTGCTCTGTAGTTGTTCAAATGCACAAATATTTTCAAATCGACTGGGCCCTGTGCCTTCCCTAGATGAAGCTTGGTGTTGAATATGAAGAAATTCCAGTGAACGGTTCTGGAGATATCTCACTGACAAGGTAAAACGTTAAAATCCCCTTGTGACCTTGAAATGAAGGTCAAGGTCACCAAACCTGACTGGAACCTTTCTTATACTGTGATGAACCTAGGTACCAAATATGAAAAGAATCCAGTCAACGGTTCTTAAGATATTCCAATTTGTACGTACGGACGGACAGAGCCTAATACTATATCCCCAGCATCGCGCTAAACGCGCGGCGGGGGATAATAATCAGTGATGGTGTCAGAGATGTCGTGGTCTCCCAATACCCTAAAACCAGCTTGTTATGTGGCAATGAAGATCATGTTAAGATTCAGCAGAGGGCATAGGTGGGATTGTTCCTGTAGTGAGACTTAGAGTCAAGAATAACCTGCAGCTTTCAACAGCTAGACTAATTCAGGCTGAGGGGTCATTGTCGTACAACAGATATGTACGAATGTACCCCAGGTATTTTTCTGTATACAGAAATGTACCCTCAACAAAGTCAAAATACAGAAACATACCTAGTACGCTAAAGTGGGGACGAGTCCATATTCCGCAACCTCAAATAGAAACATAATGTAGTTGTTCCTGTTTAACTGATTGCAAGTGATGTTGTGCATCGCAAAATATTCGTTACTTACAACAGTATGACAGTTCCAATAAAAATAAAGGCACAATGCGGAATGATCTCATCCTATGGTAAGTTTCTGTATTCTGATATTGACTAGGGTACGTTTCTGTATACAAAAACATACCTGGGGTACATATCTGTAGTACCTGTGCCGACAATGAATATCGACCATCTAAAAGCAGTCGAAAATATTCTTCAAAACGTCTGGCTCTCCTATATTTGGCAATGTCAAAAGTTCCCTAGCATCCACTTGTTGACACACCATGTCAAAATTTCATAAAATGACCAGTTCAAACAATCATGGTATGCCGATGCTCAAAATTCATCAAAAGGAAAATACTATCATTTATATAAACCTCACTCACTTTAGAATCTTATCTTTTAGATCGCCCATCAAAATTTTGTATCTGGTTAACAAAATTAAGAACTTCTAATCATAGATTACCTATTGAAATGGGATGATGGTTTAATATTAATCTAGGAAACAGAACATGTACAATTTGTAAAGATAATGTCATTTGTGATGAATTTCATGTTATTTTATCATGTACACATCTTAATGTTGAAAGTAAGGAGATACGTCCCTCTTATTTTTGCAATAATCCACATATGGACAAATTTATCTTACTTATGAAATCAGATGACACCCAACTCCTATTGAAGGTTCACTAAAGCTGTTCTTAGTCATTTCTAAATCAATATCTTTACTCATATGCTATTGTATCATAAACCGATAGTATGTTCTCTATATCATTCTGTATGGTATAGGAGAAAAAAATTCTGTTCTGTTCATGATGAGCCTTGATATCCAGGTGACCTATATTGGAAGCTGTACTATGGTTCCAAAGTTGAACATTATTTTCACTTACTTTATTTATTATATAATGCCACATGCTTAATAAACCGGTCATGCACAATATCAACTTTTGTGAAGGACCTAAACATAGATGTAACAGTTGGTGTTTAAAACACACAATATATACAATGTATATCACAATATTAGACTGATACACATACATGTGACACCAAACCCTACTCTTTGTACAGCTTCAGATGTGTGGGATATTGTTCTTGTGGACGTTGATGTCATATACAGAGACTCGGTAGGTTTTAATTCCTTTTTTAATTTTGATCATTTTCATTAATCTGCATTGGAAGAACGCAGAGTGACTCATATCAGTGTATCATCAATAGGGGAATATCACAATTAAATAACTTGATATAGAAATATATTATATCCAAAACAATGTTAGCATCATCCACTCAAACATCTGTGTAGTTTTAATATTTGGCATTGTTTTAAAGGTAGACTGATAAATGTGTATATGTATGCAGCTGACAGCATTCTCTGGCTTGGTTTAAGAGAGGATAAACACGGCAATCTTTATAACTACATATAAATCAACACCTGGCAGAAGAGAAATTAAAACAATAATATTATCACATGTAGTGATATTCCAGCTCAAATTTCACATTTTTACTGACCAAGTATGTTATCATTTACCTCAATTCTCTGAAGGGTTAATATATCAATTATTTACTGTGGATATTGTGATGTTCACCCTGTCAAAACATGTTTGCCTTAATCAATAACGAAAACATGTCAGTTTGGCTTGTATATTTCACTTGTTGTGATACATGATGGCTTCTCCATCTTCATTCCTCCTATAGGCGTTGCTTCACACAGCTCAGTGAGATTGAGAATAGTGCCAAACACAAGTAGATTCAGGTGAAATTATAGTACACAATAAACACATTTTGTATCATTAAGTGTAGGTTTGTCTTTGTAAGACTTCATTTTTTTAATAGATTCAGGAAACATGGGACCACTGTCACAGCAGTTGGGGATGTTCTTAAAATAACTTGTTTTAACACATTAACAATCAGATATAATCAATGTTTAATAAGATAATTTTAAAAAAAAGCATCCTTGACATAGCAGAAAATATTTTATTGTCCCTCTACTGTCCCCTGACAATAAATTGGCTTTACCCACCAAAGTTTCAGTTTCTCGTGACCCGGAAGAAAAATAGAACATGCAGTGTCCCACCGAAATGGGCACCTCAGTTTGTCTCAATGGTCTTGAAGATTAATTACCGTTTAAATTAAACTTTCTTGATCCATAAATTGTACACACTACTGTCGCCCAGCTTCTGGCTAAGATACATAGCGTTCACTGACATGAACGCTAATCAATTGTCAGTGAATGCTATGTATCTTAGCTACCCAGCTTCTAGATGTTTTGACCGACGAAGTTAGAAGCACGAGTTGTGCACTGTTGTGGGTGTTCGCGACTTCCGGTGACTTTGTTGACAGTGAAAACAGCGAAATCTAGATGGTGGATTCAGGCCGATATTTTGAGATTTGAGCCACAAGTGGCAGATTAATCAGCACAAAACAGAAGAACTTACGTCAATTTTGATCGGCTGTCATTTGACAGTATAGACACTAGACAGCTAGGACGGAAAATAATACTGCTTTGAGCACGGCTATGACTGAACGGGTTTGTACCATACAATGTCAGTGTTCATAAGAAGTCAAAAAGACATCACGCAAGATAAAAGTAATAAACTCACCTTTGGATTTGATCTTCAGCCCTGAGATAGGCGGACAACAGCTCTTATCTTTCTTATACAAAAGGAAACATGGGTCACAATTTTGTGTCATATGACTGTCATGTGATTGATTTGATTGGTCGTATGCCCATATAGTCGTCACGTGCGCTTGGGATACCGCGATGTCACATGCTTTATTGTGCTAGCAGCGTCATGTGACAAAAGAACACGAAACCACACCAGTAACTTAACAGTTAAACACGAGAATAAATACATACAATAAAAAAAATATATAATATAGTTTCAAAGCTGAATATATACAGGATGGACATACATTTGTGGTATCTGTTAAAGCATGAGACGCCGTTTTAAATACTTTTTACTCATGTTTTTTTAAATATAATTGCAATAATTCAGATACTGATACCCTAAAATATAATTGATATCACAAATTCGAACTAATGATAAAAACTATCATTTTGATAGCGTGAAATAATAACTGACAATTGGAGTTTTCGATATTTGCAATAAAATGATTATTTGATACCCGACACCATGCGATATTATAAATATAACTATTATCTGGTCTCTGGTATCAAATAATGATTACACATAATCTATTATATGGTCTCTGTTGATGCCTAAAATGTATGCATACGTAGTTCATGATACCACTTAATATTTTTGTAAATATCTAAACGTATGTTATATATTTGTTAATGTATACTTTCATTTTCGTGACACAGCTAATTCAATCGTAAATATCACAATGTCAGTTATTGAAATTGTGATATGAAATAAGTTTAAGACATCACTAGGTTGAATTTGTGATATCTGAAAGTCTAAAATATTTTTTTGTATTATACTTTTAATTTTGTGATATTAATAATACATGTTTAGTTATCTAATATTCGAATTCGTAATATCAGTTATTGAAATTGTGACATCATAAAAATGAGGAATTCTATATATCCATAAATTGCATTAATTTTACAACATCATTAATTCCCCTTTCCGCAATTACTGTTCCCTTGACGTCGATCTGTACAAATTATGACTGTTGCAAATTAGGAATGTTCAGGACGAGGTTTCTGTATACAGCCCTTGCAACCATTAGTTAATTAACTATGAGCGCAAGCAACACACCGTCACTCGTGACACAGATATATATTCTGATAACAATGAACAATTTCATGACAGTTCACAACACTAAAATAGATATACATCCACATACCTGGGTATAATGTATAATGCATAGTGTGCATTTAAGTGTAAAAAAAAACCCAAAACAAATTAGAATTGATTTCATCCGTACATTGTTCGGACAACGGAATGTAGTGTCAAAGTAGATCGGAAAGTGACTGAAATTGGGTTTAAAATGTTAAATAAAACACATGGGAAATATGATCTGACGCTCTTACCCCATTTATCAGTTACCCCGATTATTGATACGCTATACATTTTGTGTGCTGGCGATTTGGTGCCTCACACAGAGAGTGTGGCTTTGAATCCCGGATCGGACTTAATCCCTCTAAGTAACAGAATATATACTTTGGTAATTGGTCACAAATATAACATATATATGCCAGACACCACAATTGTCAGTGGTGGAAGACAGATGGCTTGTCTTGGCAACAAACTTTACCAGTTGCGGTTGCGGACATATCCGAAAATGCTCACTCTTAAGTTTCATTTAAATCAAATCAATAAAGGCTATTGAAGTTAATGCGTAAAATAATTTATCTACTCAGATACAACCGCGTTACGTATTGTTTAATTTTCTTCCCATATATATATACCGTCAGCATAATTAGCCATAACTTATGCCAGTCTAGCATCATATGGATGTGCCATTAAGTCATGCATAATTACTATGATATGTAATTGTAATCACACCCTGAAGGTAAAGTTGAAACGTTTGGAGTGAAAAGCGTGTTGTAGCATTACTTTGTGAATTTCTTTACACACACGCACGCACACACACACATGTACCTTTGTGACAACACAAATGGTATATTCGTTTGAGACATGAAATCAGGTCAGAGATAGCCTGTATGAAATATGTCAAAGATGGAATCCCAAGGCCTCCTTATCGACACACGTCTGTTTTCGTCAGGAATTTCTGAGCACATTTCATTAGTTGACACCACTGCTTGACGCAAAACTGGTTACCAGTGAAGTGTCGGATATAGGTGAACAACACATCTACCCAGAGGTTACAATATGGAGAAACATAGCAATTCGTCCATTTTTAAACATTGAATACAGCTTTAGGAGTCTCAAACAACGCTCAAATGGTTCTTATTTCCCGATTTTATTGAAGCAAATACATTGTTATGAGTATACACATGATGGTCATCTTAACACTGCAGGTGACAGTAACTCAGTAATAGCCCATCCCTGAAACAGAAAAAGGTAGTTTTGTATAAAATTGGGATTCATGGAAATGTAAGAAAGAAATGTTGAACTGTTTGGATGATAAACTGGAACAAATATTTGAAATAGGTGACAACAACTATAAAGATGTTTATTAAATGTCATCAGCTTTTAGCGTCAAAAAGTCATAACTACATGGGGGGTACATGATATCATTTTGTAAAAGTGACAGAAGGTTCAAAGTGCGAGAATGGATCAAGAAATGACGGCATATATTGTGAAATACCTTTTCCTAGTCCGATTCCGTTTCCTCCAATTCCGTAGAGACCACCATAGCCTCCAAGTCCTCCATACAGACCTCCCATGCCGTATCCGTATTTGCCTCCATATAGACCGCCCATTCCTCCGTAAAGACTGCCCATTCCTCCGTACAGACCGCCATAGCCTCCGTAAAGACCTCCGTACATTCCACCCATTCCGTAGCCTACTCCGCCCATTCCTCCATACAACCCAGCCATTCCATATGCTCCATACAGACCGGTTGGCTCGGCAAAGGCGGTAACAGCCAGGCAGGCAACAAGGACGGCGACTATCTTCATCATTTTGAATATCTGTTCAGTAACATGAAAAGCATCTTCAAAACAGGGAAACAGTATGTTATGGTTGCTCATCTGAAGAATTTAGCTGACGCCAATCATTATGAATGATGTTATCACTTTTGATTCCATGTGCATTCATATACTTCCAAATTGACAAGAACGTTAATATTCCTCACATCTTCCTACTTTGATTAACTGGATCAACGTAAACGTTGAAAGCGGACCGGTGTGCAGTAGACGAATGTAAAAATCAAATTATACATGCTTGTCACAAGCAAACCTTGAAACGGTACTTACAATTTGCTTGGTGTGAACACGTGTCTGTGTCTTATCAGCAGGTGAAAATAAGAGATGATAGAATACTTTTCCCTCTCCTTTATATATACAATTTGGTGACTATATGTGATTGATTGACCTTGGGCCTGGCACTTCGAGGTAAGTAACACACCTTAGCTTTAATGCTGTAAACTGATCATTCTTTTCGCCTCAAAGGGCCCGAGGTTATCACCCTAAGGGCATACACGTGTGTTGGTATACATGAATATTCATTTAGGAAGTAGTGGACAGTATATAATAGAGCGTCTCTCTCTCTCTCTCTCTTCTTATCTTTCTCCTCTTTCTGTGGCATCATTGAACTGCATTTCAAAGAATTCCGGGTACTACATTCTAACCTGTATTAAGGAAATATCCGATAGTGGCTGGGGTGCTGTGTATCCATTACACATGCGATGGAGCAGTAAATATCAGACATGATGACGTCTCTTTCTGATACGAAATTACAAAAGTGAGTGAGTGAGTGAGTTGAGTTTTACCCCGCACTCAGCAATATTCCAGCTATATGGCTGCGGTCTGTGAATAATCGGATCTGGACCAGACAATCCAAGGATCGACAGCATGAACACTGATCTACGCAATTGGGATGCGATGATATGTGTGATCCAGTTCAGCGAGCCTGACCACCCGATCCGTTAGTCGCCTCTTACGACAAGCATGGGTTACTGAAGATTCATTCTAACCTGGACCTTCACGGGTAGAACTTACAAAGACAGGGCAATTGACGAAACGCACTGGTACAGCTTCGCTTCTCACTACAGCAGTATCACCTTGATACATGGTCACTATTCAAACATCTACGTGTGTCCACACAATAACCACCTCCTTAATATATGCAGAAATCTCCCAGTATCATGATACCCTCGACGAAGTTAAAACATCTAACAAAATACTACAACAGCTTTATTTCCTAAATCTGACATATACTGGTGTCTTTTCAGAAAGGGACATCACTATCAGTAGTCACAACACACATTTATCTGTTGAAAACAAAACACGGGTGTCTTCGCAAAACATGATTATGTTTCCATATGAACTACTGTATTGTTCCTCTTGTTTGTAGACTTTTCTTTTGCCTGTGTTTCTTACTGATGTAGCCGAGGAGTTAGGGCTACACTCCCCTTTTCGTGAACACTTTGTGTCATCACTCATTTGATGGCAAGTCATACTTATATTCTTCAGATATATTTGGAATGGTACAGTAGACTCTGCCTTTAGTAGAAATCCTTTACAATTATCGAAAGGGTGGGGTCGCTTTATTTTACAACTATTATGTTTGAAGTAACTCACGTTTCTCTTAATAAGGCTCCTTGGTAAATGTTCACTTCAGTTTGCAACGGATGTTTAATAATACGAACATCACTGCGTGTGTTATCTCAGATTCTACAGATATCAGATCTTCATGTAGTAATCACACGATGGTGATCCAGTTCCTATAGATATTGAATCTTGATTTTTGATATAATAATCACACGATGGTGATCCAGTTCCTATGTATATTGAATCTTGATTATTGATATAATTACACGATGGTGATCCAGTTCCTATAGATATTGAAACTTAATTATTGATATAATCACACGATGGTGATCCAGTTCCTATAGATATTGAATCTTCATTATTGATATAATCACACGATGGTGATCCAGTTCCTATAGATATTGAATCTTGATTATTGACATAATTACACGATGGTGATCCAGTTCCTATAGATATTGAAACTTGATTATTGATATGAACACGATGGTGATCCAGTTCCTATAGATATTGAATCTTGATTATTGATATAATCACACGATGGTGATCCAGTTCCTATAGATATTGAATCTTGATTATTGATATAATTACACGATGGTGATCCAGTTCCTATAGATATTGAAACTTGATTATTGATATAATCACACGATGGTGATCCAGTTCCTATAGATATTGAATCTTGATTATTGATATAATCGCACGATGGTGATCCAGTTCCTATAGATATTGAAACTTAATTATTGATATAATTACACGATGGTGATCCAGTTCCTATAGATATTGAAACTTAATTATTGATATAATTACACGATGGTGATCCAGTTCCTATAGATATTGAATCTTGATTATTGATATAATTACACGATGGTGATCCAGTTCCTATAGATATTGAATCTTGATTATTGATATAATCACACGATGGTGATCCAGTTCCTATAGATATTGAAACTTAATTATTGATATAATTACACGATGGTGATCCAGTTCCTATAGATATTGAATCTTGATTATTGATATAATTACACGATGGTGATCCAGTTCCTATAGATATTGAATCTTGATTATTGATATAATCACACGATGGTGATCCAGTTCCTATAGATATTGAAACTTAATTATTGATATAATTACACGATGGTGATCCAGTTCCTATAGATATTGAATCTTAATTATTGATATAATTACACGATGGTGATCCAGTTCCTATAGATATTGAATCTTGATTATTGATATGATCACACGATGGTGATCCAGTTCCTATAGATATTGAAACTTAATTATTGATATAATCACACAATGGTGATCCAGTTCCTATAGATATTGAATCTTGATTATTGATATGATCACACGATGGTGATCCAGTTCCTATAGATATTGAAACTTAATTATTGATATAATTACACGATGGTGATCCAGTTCCTATAGATATTGAAACTTAATTATTGATATGATCACACGATGGTGATCCAGTTCCTATAGATATTGAAACTTAATTATTGATATAATTACACGATGGTGATCCAGTTCCTATAGATATTGAATCTTGATTATTGATATAATCACGATGGTGATCAGTTCCTATAGATATTGAAACTTAATTATTGATATAATTACACGATGGTGATCAGTTCCTATAGATATTGAAACTTAATTATTGATATAATCACACGATGGTGATCCAGTTCCTATAGATATTGAAACTTAATTATTGATATAATCACACGATGGTGATCAGTTCCTATAGATATTGAAACTTAATTATTGATATAATTACACGATGGTGATCCAGTTCCTATAGATATTGAAACTTAATTATTGATATAATTACACGATGGTGATCCAGTTCCTATAGATATTGAATCTTGATTATTGATATAATCACACGATGGTGATCCAGTTCCTATAGATATTGAAACTTAATTATTGATATAATCACACGATGGTGATCAGTTCCTATAGATATTGAAACTTAATTATTGATATAATTACACGATGGTGATCCAGTTCCTATAGATATTGAAACTTAATTATTGATATAATCACACGATGGTGATCAGTTCCTATAGATATTGAAACTTAATTATTGATATAATTACACGATGGTGATCAGTTCCTATAGATATTGAAACTTAATTATTGATATAATTACACGATGGTGATCAGTTCCTATAGATATTGAAACTTAATTATTGATATAATCACACGATGGTGATCCAGTTCCTATAGATATTGAATCTTGATTATTGATATAATCACACGATGGTGATCCAGTTCCTATAGATATTGAAACTTAATTATTGATATAATTACACGATGGTGATCAGTTCCTATAGATATTGAATCTTAATTATTGATATAATCACGATGGTGATCAGTTCCTATAGATATTGAAACTTAATTATTGATATAATCACACGATGGTGATCAGTTCCTATAGATATTGAATCTTAATTATTGATATAATCACACGATGGTGATCCAGTTCCTATAGATATTGAAACTTAATTATTGATATAATCACACGATGGTGATCCAGTTCCTATAGATATTGAATCTTGATTATTGATATAATCACACGATGGTGATCAGTTCCTATAGATATTGAATCTTGATTATTGATATAATCACACGATGGTGATCCAGTTCCTATAGATATTGAAACTTAATTATTGATATAATTACACGATGGTGATCCAGTTCCTATAGATATTGAATCTTAATTATTGATATAATTACACGATGGTGATCAGTTCCTATAGATATTGAAACTTAATTATTGATATAATTACACGATGGTGATCCAGTTCCTATAGATATTGAATCTTGATTATTGATATAATCACACGATGGTGATCCAGTTCCTATAGATATTGAAACTTAATTATTGATATAATCACACGATGGTGATCCAGTTCCTATAGATATTGAAACTTAATTATTGATATAATTACACGATGGTGATCCAGTTCCTATAGATATTGAAACTTAATTATTGATATAATCACACGATGGTGATCCAGTTCCTATAGATATTGAAACTTAATTATTGATATAATTACACGATGGTGATCAGTTCCTATAGATATTGAATCTTAATTATTGATATGATTACACGATGGTGATCCAGTTCCTATAGATATTGAAACTTAATTATTGATATAATCACACGATGGTGATCAGTTCCTATAGATATTGAATCTTGATTATTGATATAATCACACGATGGTGATCAGTTCCTATAGATATTGAAGCTTAATTATTGATATAATTACACGATGGTGATCCAGTTCCTATAGATATTGAAACTTAATTATTGATATAATCACACGATGGTGATCAGTTCCTATAGAT